TTCCTCTAATGAACTTAAGGCAGCATGCAAGGTTTTGTCCTCCCCCTCCTATTTTATCCTCAAAACAACCTTTAGAGGTAGGCTAGATTGAGAGATGGTTACTCAGTTCAAGAGCACCCACCTACATGTTTGTGTAAACTACCGGTACTTTGAAGAGCAAAGTAGCCCTCTTGTGGCTACTGAAAGGCTATCTTGTGCCTCCCAACATCACTGATAGCTCTTTCAGCATGTATGATCAAGAGTTCTTCAATATTTCACTCCCTCAGTAGGTTACAATAGTTTAGGTTTCTTAAATCACGCTTTGGAATACATGAGGTTCTTCATGATAAATATGTACTGAGTACCTTGCGAGTTTATTAGGCCCTCTGCCTTCAGCGGCTTCTGATTTCTTTTTTTAAGTTTAGCTCCTCAAACAGGCCTAGCTACTTGATTTCTTTTCAAAAGCAAATGGAATATAAGTACTGGATTTGGGGCTTTGCAAAAGAAGAAGAAATATTCTAAGAGGCGATACTACTTCATGCTGTTTTTCTTATTTAATACTTTTAAAAACATGCTGTGATGTCCAACGATAATAAATACCACTCCTATCTGATGGTTTTTCCATATGGGATTCAGCTGCATGATTCAATTGATTAGGATTTTCCCCACACTGGCTCTGCAGAAACTAGGGTTGTGTTGCAGTAGCCCTCTCAGGCACTTGTTTCTTCTTAATTGATGATTGACGAAGAAACATAATTCACAAGCTCTCACATACTAGCTACACAGCAGGTCAATTCCTCACGGAAAGGGCTGTAGCTTAGGGGTCAAGCCTCCGCTTTGCATGCAGAATCCGGCATCTCCGTGTACAGCTGGCCATGTCCCTGTCTGAAAACCTGGGCAGCCACTGCCAATGGTCTGACTCTGTATAAGGCTGCTTCCTAAGATCTTACGAAACATGTTGACAGCCAATTTCTACGACCAGCCAGGAGCTTATTTCTACCAAGGCTGAACTGGGCTGCAGGCAGATGTTGGGTGTGTTACCAACACCAGTGAAGAGTTTTATGTGCCGTGAAGCCTGGCCTGTTCTCCATGGTTCATATAAAAAACCAGGCCACATCCGCACCATCCATTTAAAGCAGTATTATACCACTTTAAATGGTTGTGGCTTCCTGCAAAGAATCCTGGGATCCTGCTGCCTGAGTCAGTTGTTTCACCTTGCCTCATGGGTGGACCAGCCCTGCTTGAGCTTCTCAAAATGAGCATCGCTTCCTGACAGACCTGGAGTAGCTAATGTCCCAGGCCTTAGCCTGACACTCTAATCACTATCTGGAGGGCACCATCTTGGCCGTCCCTGCCTGAGAGGCGAAGTGCCCCAAGTTGGTGGAGCAGCGCTGCACCTGTTGATTTTCTGCCTGACAACACTGCTGCTGTGACCGGGGTGGGGGCGGGGAGGAGAGTATCAAATGGCCCACTGTTGTTGCCACAAAACCTGGGCTTGGACCCTGGCAGGAAAAAAACAATAATTAGCAGGGGGAAGCAACTCGGAAACAAAATTAAACAGGACAAGCAAGGGGCAATTGCTTGTGTAATGGGAATCCTGAATTGTGTGTGATTAGCTGTGCTTCTCAGCTGAGGGGAACACACCACCAATACAATCTCATCCCCCACTAAAGGGAGCAAACATTAACCTAATAAAGGCAGGCAGCTGGACTGAAGGGGGAAAACCAACTCTTTAGAGCGGAGGGGGAAGCTTTCCTTCCATTAGAAAAATAATATATTTTATCCAAATAAGGTAAAAATATTTGAAATGGGGCAGAAGTGAGCACGAAGCGGGCCTTTCTAGAAAAGGAGATTTCTCCAACTCTCAGCAACCCACTTTTATTTTTGTAGTTTTGCAGCTTGTCTTTTGGGACAAGCAATCTACACACACACTCACACTTTGCAGGGTTGTGGGTAATAAGCAGCACTTTTGAGATAATATCTCCCTCTTTCTCTTTTCTCAACCCCCCCCGCCCCCCTGCTTCTTTATAGAGTTTCACCCTTCAGGAACATTTGGAGGTTCAGTCACAAACATATATCCCTCACTAAATAGTCTATGTGGATCAATTAGTTAAAAGTTAATGGATATATATTTTTCATAAGCGGGTATGATTTTGGGGAGAGTAAAAGCTCTCCTCACATGACAGAAGCATTGAAGAGAAAAGTGATGACAAACCTAGACAGCAACTTAAAAAGCAGAGACATCATCTTGCCAACAAAGGTCCATATAGTTAAAGCTATGGTTTTCCCAGTAGTGATGTATGGAAGTGAGAGCTGGACCATAAAGAAGGCTGATTGCCGAAGACTGGATGCTTTTGAATTCTGGTGCTGGAGGAGACTCTTGAGAGTCCCATGGACTGCAAGAAGATCAAACCGATCCATTCTTAAGGAAATCAGCCCTGAGTGCTCACTGGAAGGACAGATCGTGAAGCTGAGGTTCCAATACTTTGGCCACCTCATGAGAAGAGAAGACTCCCTGGAAAAGACCCTGATGTTGGGAAAGATGGAGGGCACAAGGAGAAGGGGACGACAGAGGACGAGATGGTTGAACAGTGTTCTTGAAGCTACCAGCATGAGTTTGACCAAACTGCGGGAGGCAGTGGAAGACAGGAGTGCCTGGCGTGCTCTGGTCCATGGGGTCACGAAGAGTCAGACATGACTAAACAACAACAATGGAGGGTTATTAATCAAGATGCTGAAAACTGAGACTATATTTCATTATATTTTCATAAGTTGGTACATTATGATTTTTCTGCCAGGGTCTTTCTTTACACAAAGAAGTTTGAAGAGCATTAAGTAGTCCTTTGGATGATTACTCAAGACGGCATCACGTGTGCTAAAATTGGAGGTTCTCTTGCTTGCTGCCTCATGAGGTGATTTGAGAGAACTGCATGGAGTCCTGAGGAGAACCCATGCTTCTTCTAAGAAAAGAGTTTAAAGTTAAATAAAGTCCATAGAAGTGCATTTGGGTGAAGGAGAGGCAAAGCTCTCAATCCTTGTGTAATAAAGAACTCCCTTTTCCTCTGGGAAAACCCTTTGAGTTTTCCTTTCTGAGGTAACTTTCTGACGAAATCTTAACACGGTTTAAGAAGGTTATGCGAATTTATTACTGGCATCACTCTGTTTTTTAAACTTTTTAAAAAAGTATTTATTGATGTCCAGTGTTTGTTCACGGGGGGTCAGTAGAGGAGGACAGTGTCCGTTTCAATTTGCTCTGAAATGATTGGTCATGTAGGAAATGGCTTTAACCTCTTCTGAATGTGAGGGGCCAGGCAAACCTGTCCTAAATGCATTTTCTCTGATGGAAACTCCGATCCAAATCCATAGGACTGAACTTTAAAGGAAGCCTGCTCAGTACGCCAGTCTTTTTTTTCTTTTTAAAAAATCCAATTTACGGCCCATTTTTTTGCATGTGAAAATGTTTTATTCTAGTAACTACAGAAATCTGGAGATCAGGAATGGGGGATGGGTGAAGGGTCATTTTATGGACAAGCAAATTTGCTTCCCCCCCCCACGCTTTGCCACCTTCAAGAAAATAGCAGCCTTCTTTTTGGGAGGGGGGTTTTGTCTGTTCCATTTGGACAGGGTGTCTCTCATTGGGAGGAGTATATTGATGAGGTGCTGCTTTTGGAGAAGTTGGGCAATGTGAACTCTCAGCCATGTCTGTGAAGGGGGGTGGGGAGAGGGAAGAGAGACTCCTTAGCTGGCCTGTCAGATAAATCTTCTGCTGTTTACTTAAATCCTCAGCGTTTCTTCAGTTTGTTTGTTTAAAAAAAGTCCCTGCCAAAAAGTGGGGGAAAGCCGTCCTTGTTCAGTCTTGCAGTCTTGGATTCAAGGACAATTGCATGGCCTTGGGATTCTTCATTCCCAGCTCGGGCTCTCAGGTGTACATATGTATGTATGTATGTATGTATGTATGTATGTATGTGTGTACACACACACAGTGTGTTTGAAATCTCCTTACAGGAAATAAGCTGCTTCTTCCTCTCTTCCAAAATAAGTAGCTAGCTAAACTCTTCCAAAAGGTGTGTGTGTGAGTGAAATTGATGGTTTCTATGCTTATTTTGAATTCCAAGAAAGAGTGCTTTATTTTAATTTTTTTTTATTAAGCAATTTCAACATACCAAATTATCAATCCAAATAATCAATTACATTATTCCCCCCCCCCGCTATCCCTTCCGCTTCCCCCCCACCAAGGACTTCCCTCAGCTCCCCTCTCTGATTTCTTTGCACATATTATTCTCTGCATGTTATAACATTGTCCATATCTTTGCCTTATCTATCAAATGTTCAACTATTTCTAGTTGAATAGTTGAACAAGAAAGAGTGCTTTAGTAGAGCATGTACAGAAAGCTTCCTGTTTCCAGCCACGACCAGCCCCGCTGGGGTTTAGGTGACAAAAAGACTCAGCTGAGCCTCCAGTATTTACAGTGCTGGAGAGAACAACTGCAATTGTTAGGAAATAGTACTCGCTTTATGATTTGTGTTTCCAGAACTTGTGCGCTTAATTTTGTTTTATTCCATTAAAAAAAAATTTACCCCACCTTTTGACTTTAGGGTCCCAAGCCAGTTTATGAAATTCATCATAATCAGTGACATAAGACGAAATATTTCCCACTACTATATTACTATATGTTTTTTCTCTGTGGCACAATTCTAAACATATTGCTTCATAAAATGAATTAGTAACATAATTGTTGGATTCACAATATGACTCAAATTTGGTAAGTTCCAAAATTGTAATTAACTCTTTTCCCCCAGGAGATTATCCCCAGGAATCACAGCTATCTATCCACCTACCTACCCATGATGTGGGATTTTTTTTTTGGGGGGGGTTAAATAAGGGTCAATTACTTTGCATTGGAATTCTTTTGCATTAGAAAAAAAAATCTAATGCCCTAGAGACCCACCTTATTTCTGAGATTGTAAATTGTTTTAATCTGTTTTTAACATTGTGTTTTAATTGTTGCAACCCACCTTGAGACCTTAGGGTGAAGGGTGGGGAATTATTATTATTATATATATATTATATATATATTATATTAAATAGTTTCTATTTAACATTTAAACTACATTAAGTGTGATTTGTGGAACATTGTGGAACAGCCTACACACCTAGGCTGAATAAAGTATTTAAGTTCAACCAGCTTTGGTTATTAAAAAAAAAGTATTTCTGATATTTTTGTAAGATTAACATGGTCCCCATTGCTACTTCTGTTTACTTTATAGTAAAGCTATCCCAGCAGTGGGGCCTAACACACCAGTCATGGGATTTGTGGTATAGAATCCCTGGCTAAGCAAGTGTGGGGTTGTTGGTCCTTGTTTGGATGGGTAAATAGCTCATGGATCTTGTGTTTTGCAGCATAGTCATTTATTGCCATTTATACACTCCTTTCCCAGTTAACTGTTCCCAAAGTACCTTATAATTAAACCCCAGCACAAAATGGGCAAAATCTTAGTGCTTGATTGATAGTATGTCTGTCTCTCCATGATGGTTGATGACCTCATAGTGCAGATTGTAGACTCTTCCAATCACAGGGAGGGCAGTTGAACTGGCGAGGGGCAGAAGGAATGGATGGGGAAGATACCAGCCCACTGCCGTCTCGTAGCTCCGCAGAATTTCCTGGATCCAGCAGCTGGAAAAGCTGATTTTAATTTTCTGTAAGTAGATCAGGTATGTCGTGGGTAGTTCTCATTATCAGGCACATGCCATGGCCGCTCTGCAAGTTCCTGGGTCCTTCTGACCTCTGCTGCTGCTGTGATTGGCTGTTCCTTTCCTCTTTCAGATTCAGCAAGGAGGTGTTAGTGACCTCCACATGCCTTGCTCCCTTCTCGCAGAAGGGATTGGGTCCAAAGGGAGAGGCAACCAAGAGGGCAGAGGCAGCAGCGGACAAGGAGAAGGTGGGCATTATTGAGAAAGGGAGACCCACAGGTAGCCCCCCAAGGTTTTGTTAAAATACTGGAACAGGCATTAAAAACTGGATCCCCAGTAGACAAAAGCAGTTCAGTTTAAATATTTGATTCGGAGGAGGAGCGGGGTGCGGGGAGGGAATCAGTGAAACGCACTTAAGATGAAATCCTGTATCAGTTTGCCTGGGAATAAACCAGGTAGGCATGTATCTGATTGCACTGCTAATGTGGTTTAATTCAAGCAAATCCAATGTTTTGGGGTTGTATCCAACCGAGGTCCTACTCAGAGCAGACCCTGTGACATGAATGGGCCTATGTTAGGCATGACCATTAACTTCACAAGGTCTACTCTGAGTAGGACCAGCATTGGATGCAACCCTTGTAAATTATTTTTATTGGAATGCGTGTAGATATTAAGACGTTTCAGCTCAGTAGCATACACTTACCTGGACATTATTTAGATTTTTAAGTGGCTTGTGTGAGCAAATAAAGGCACTTGGAAACTGTTAACATACTAATTGGAGCATGTCTGAAGAACTGTATGCTTCCTACGAGTAGTCACCTGGAAAATGATAATACTTTAAACTTTGATTTTAGATTTATCTAGTATTCAATACATTCCTGCTGCCCAATTTGATTTGTATTTCTTAAATAATATTTATTACTAAAACAGCACACACCCAATATTGGAATGTTTCCCAAAGAAAAATATACTGTATGTACTCGAATCTAATGTTCACCTTTTTTGGCCAAATTACATTGCGAAAATTAAGGTGCACATTCGATTTGATGGCACATTTACATTCAACAGCACTTTTTGGGGATTTCAGGGTTCTGAAAATTGAGGTACACATTCGATTCAATGGCACTTAGACTCAAGTAAATACGGTACTATTTGGGAAACATCACCTCACAGATTAGAGGCAGCCTCCACTGCCTCCTGTGTTGGAAAGTAATGGTTCAGGTGTTCTCAATACAGACCTAATTAAAATGACCTTCTCCCACAGGCAGGTGGTTTTATAACAAGGGGCTCCTATGGACACACACAGAAGGTTAGTCTCTTTTAAATGACTGGTAGGCCTTCTTCCAAATGTATATTTTTTTGGGGGGGGGGTGAGTTGAGAGTGTGGTGTAGTGGCTAGTGTTGGATTAGGACCAGTGGGTAGATAGGATTCAGATCCACACTAGGTCATAAACCTTCCTGGGTCACCTTGGGCCAGCCAGCATCTCTCAGCCTAATCTACCTCACAGGGTAGTTGTGAGGATAAGGGGGGAAATGTTTATTTGAGCAGCTGGGAGGAAAGATGGGATATAAAAGTAGGATATTTGTGTAAGTAGGGCCTCCAATTTTAATCCAGGAGGTGGAATTCCCTCCCCCCCCCATCCCAAGTTTGGGAAACTTCAGTAGCAACATGAAATCTTCCAGACCTTGTATTATAAATTAAATGTTTTCTAGGAGTGGCTCTCTTCAAAGTGGAAGATGTCGGCATTTTTTCCTTTATTCCCCACCCCCACACTCTTGATTGTGCAGTGCAGCTGTTTTCCTAGCTAAGAGCAGAACAAGATCTCAAAAAAACTCTTTTTGTCTGAAGCCCGCAGGCAGCCTGCCTCTCACTTTTCCCCAAGAAATTGCAAAACCCTTGCATTTGCCTCAGTTTGAGTGTAGGAGTCCCAGCCGGTGCCAAAAGGATGGCTGTGCCAAGGAAGGCGTTGAGGAGCGCCTCTCAGGGTGCTAGCTAGGGCACTGTGCACCTTTAAGGTGTGGCTGGGAGCCACCCTGCTCTATATGAGCTTCTGCGTCCCTGTACTTGTCTCTTGGCTCAGGCAGATTGCTGACATGAAACAGAAGTGAAAGATTCCTAGCAAAAACAAAGGAGCAGGGAGAAAATGTTTCTATATGGTGTAATTCTCTCCCACACACCCATCCAAATTTCAGAGAAGAGCCAGAAACGTGGAAGTGTTAGGGCATTGATGGAGGACTGAGATGCAGTGACTACATCATGGAAATGTATGGTGCCAGGTTAATTTTAAGGCTCGGATTTCCTCCCCTAACACCCCCCTCTTCCTGCGCTTTCCAAAATGATAGCTTATAATTAGTGGTGCAATGTTTAATTGATTTGCAGTGGAATCCTGTGCAGGTTTATTCAGAAGCAAGTCCCACAGAATGTGGTTAGACTTCCACATAAATGTGCAAAGGACTGTGGTCTTAATCAGTAAGGTTCATTAATTTCCCTCCAAAAAGTCCCTTTTAATCAACTAAAAAAGTGCCTCTAATTATAAGGTACTTAAGATGGTGCTTGCCAGCTTATTTTCTTGAGGCATTCCCCTTTCTTTCTCTTACATTGGCCTTTGTCAACATGGTGCCCTCCAGATACTTTGGAACAGGCATAGGCATACTCGGCCCTCCAGATGTTTTGGGACTACAACTCCCATCATCCCTGGCTAACAGGACCAGTGGTCAGGGATGATGGGAGCTGTAGTCCCAAAACATCTGGAGGGCTGAGTTTGCCTATGCATGCTTTGGAATGAAATTCCCATCAGCCTCAGCCACCTTGCTGCCTGGGGCTGATGGGAGTTGTTGTCCAAATCATCTGGAGGGCACAGTGTTGGAGAACGCTATCATGCAGAAAGTGGTGCCTCTTCTAAGTCCACTCATATTTTTCTGTGACACATGATTGAATCCTTCTGAAAATGGAAAGACTGTTGCTGTCTTCACCTATTGGGTTTTGCTCTTAAACCCAAATTTGTTAATTGACTACTTATCTAATATTAATCTGATTAATCAACTGCTGTATTTTTAAATTGGCTGACAGCCCTAGTCAGAATTAAGCTTTGGTCTACCCTATGCCACGCGGGTGGCGCTGTGGGTAAAACCGCAGCGCCTAGGACTTGCCAATCGTATGGTCGGCGGTTCGAATCCCCGTGGCGGGGTGAGCTCCCGTCGTTCGGTCCCAGCTTCTGCCCACCTAGCAGTTCAAAAGCACCCTTAAGTACAAGTAGATAAATAGGTACCACTTTATAGTGGGAAGGTAAACGGTGTTTCCGTGTGCTGCGCTGGTGCTGGCTCGCCAGAGCAGCTTCGTCACGCTGGCCACGTGACCCGGAAGTGTCCTCGGACAGCGCTGGCCCCCGGCCTCTTAAGCGAGATGGGCGCGCAACCCCAGAGTCTGTCACGACTGGCCCGTACAGGCAGGGGTACCTTTACCTTTACTTTTACCTACCCTATGCCCAGTGCCGGATTTACGTATAAGCTAAACAAGCTACAGCTTAGGGCCCCACTCTCTTGGGGCCCCCCAAAAAAGGAAAAAGGTCCATAAATTACCATATATTCAACACAAAAAACAGTGACAATTTGTTGTTGACAAAGGACAGTTGGACATATAAAGGGCCCCATTACCTTCAGTAGCTTAGGGCCTCATCAAACCTAAATCCGGCCCTTCCTATGTCGTACATCACCAGGACACTCTTTTTAATTTCTGGTCATCTGGGGTCATGATACATTCAGCACTGTTTTGATTGGATTAAAATATTGTAGATCTTGAGGGTGGCAATCCCATGGTCATGAACAATATGATAGGGCGTGTCACAAAACATATATTAGGATGCTGGGACATATCAAATTTAGCTCTTTGTTAAGTTTTCTGACTGAACTGTGTTTTGGGCTTCAATACCATTTTGCTACCTGACTCTGGCCTGGGTCAACCTTCTCCGACTCCCATACAAGCTTGAGAGGGGAAAGAAATTAGGGGCTTGTGAAATGGTAGTGTCTACTTGTACCCCTTCCTGCAAAACATCTTTGTACAGTTCCCTAAAATCATGGTTATGTTCATGTTCACAGCTCTGCTGATTATTATATATGGACCCTGGTGGGTTTTGCCTATTTAAGTCATTGGAATAGATTGGGTCCACACTGCCCATTCTCAAGGCACACAATGGGTTTTTTTTTAGCTCAACTCATTGAAATTAATGGCCACAGCTAACTCAGGTTAATCAATTTCCGTGGGTCTGTTGTGAGTAAAAATTAGTCTGATATGACCCAGAGAGTTGGCATCCAATGTTAATTATACTCTGAGCCGACCCACTGAAATAAACGGGCGTAAAAAATGTAGGTCCGTTCCATTCATTCAGTGGGTGTTTTCTGACTAACCTTGGTTACAAAGCCAACGATTCGGTGTTCCGTTGGTGGACCTATTTTGAGTCCTTTTTAAAAATTGTTTTTATTAAAGATTTTCTTGGGTTACAAAAGTACATACATCGTTTCTGTTTTCAGATCATAAAGTCATTTCTACAGATCAATTATATATATGTGAGACTTTAATGTTGTATACAGTATAAGGCTGGGGGAGAAGAGAGAAGGGGAGAGAAAAGGGGGGGGGAGAAAGGGAGTAGTAAACTTTCATTCTTTTACATAGTGTATGTGCAAGGTTTTTGTGTAAGCATCACATGGGTAGATTCTCTTTCTATTTATTTGTCTTCATTGGCAGTGAGAGAGGTTGGGGGCCCAGAATATGGTTGGTTGCCTTCGGTTGACTGCAGTGAGTTTTGTTTGTGTGTGTGAGGGTACGGGGTTGTTGGGTCAAGTTAGCCATATCGATTTGTATGTTTTTGGTGGGTTCTTGTTGTCTTGTTGGGCTGTGTGTGTAATAAAGGGGAGCCACACTGGGGTGAAGGTGTCCACTTTTGTTTGTCCCCGTTCTTTAGTTTGTTGCTTAAGTTTTCTAGTAAGGCTGTTTCCCATACAGTTTGGTACCAGTGGTACATGTTCACTCCTGACAGGTCCCTCCAGTGTCTAGCTATGATGCTCCTGGGTTATAAGCTCTCTGTAATGGGAGTGTGTGTTATTGTCTTGGAAAATATTCTATAGGGCCAGTTCTGGGGTGGCTTCTAATATCTGTTTAGTTATTTCACATATTTCTTGTAGGACTGATGTCCAAAAGAGTTGGATTTGGGGGCAATCCCCACCACACATGGAGGTATGTGCCTGTAGAGGTACAACCTCTCCAGCATTTTGGTGAGGTTCCTTGATATATCAGTGCCGACTTCTGTGGTGTTAGGTACCATCTATAGGTAAGTTTCAAGGGGAGATGGATTTAGACCACAGTTTATTCCATTGGGTAGGGTTTATTTCACAGTCTATGTCATGCTCCCATTGTTTTTTGATTAAGATGAGGGGGTTACTAGGATTCTGGAGCAGTATTTTTATATTGTGGATACCCTGTTTTGAGTCTTGGGAGAAAATAGCTTTGAATTAGATCTCTTTATAATCCTTTCAAAATCTTGCCTGCCATTGTGGTGGGATGGAAGGCTGCCATTGTTTAGACCAGCAGTGGGCAATGCCCTCTCACCCCGTGGGGAGCTGAAGGTGCTATGAAAGATGTATTAATTATGTGTTCACACTTTTCTTGCTTTTACTTTTGGGTAGGTTTTTGTATTGTTTCAATAACCTGCTTGACCAGAGCGCCTGGTAAGACATCAACAAATGTGTATATGAGGAAGTGGAACTTTTACTCAAAGCACCCACCTACCCCAGAAAAGTAGGGTGCCATACTATTCAGGACTTTTTTTTTTTGTCTATATATGTATTTGTTTACATAGTACTTTTTGTCTGTATAATTCTAAGCACCATATCATGGGGTCCCTGGTGGTCTCCCATCTGGGCACCTCAAGTGCCAAGTTTCCCTATTTTCCAGGGACAGCCCCAGATTTATAGAAGCCACTGTGACACCTCCCTCTGCTGGCTCACTGGTCACCAAAGTGCTAAAAGGCCTGGTGAGCTCCTATGGCTAGATCATTTTGCGTTTGTTACAGGAAGAAGATAGACATGTACCGTAAGTAGGATTTCTCTCAGCATCTGCATTCTGTGATGATAGTGATTTCCTCTTGATCTTAGAGGCACTAGAGAGTACTAACTATGAGTCCCATTTCTCTTTCTTTTCTGGACTTTCAAGGCTGAGAAAAGTCTTTTCCCGTCTGGGAAGAAAAAATAAAATTTCTCCTTTCCCAGCGACCTCCCCCTCGCCCACCACCTCTCCCTCCGCCTCACCTTCCGGACCCCTCTTTCAGAAGACTGCAAAGGTAAAACCCTTCAGTGTATAGATGTTGCTTCCAGAGAAATAGCAGTCCCTATGGATTCTTAGGAAAGGTCTCTCTGTAACTGTTTGAGGCCTATTTTGATGTTCAGAAAATAAACATATCCCATGTGGCTCTTTGTTTTTCCTGTACGCTCTGCACACCTCCTGCCATCCTGACCTGGAGGAAGATGGCAGGAGGAAGAAATGCCAAGGAAAACATGAAGGTAATGTCTATTTCCAAGGATATGTTTAGGGTATACTTTATAAGAAAGCCCCTAAAACAGTTATAATTGCTAGCCTTCTCTTCTTTTCCATTTAAATGACATAATATTTGAAGGCCTGGAGGGAGAGCAGGGGCAGGGCAGCTTTTATACTGACACCATGAACCACAGAACCTGAGCACGGAGTTTGCCACCACACTCTATCAATGCTGGGCATGGAACGAACCTCGCCATTTCCCCAATGAGCGTGTCTCTCTCTTTGGGGCTTCTGCAGTTTGGGGCTGAAGGGAGCACACTGGCCCAACTGCAGCATGCTCTGGAATACAGCACACATGGTAAGGCAACCTTCTGAGAAACAGCTTTTCTGTGAGCAGTGCATGCTGTCGTGAACTTCACCTTACAGTTTGGACTGTCCTTCCTCCAAGACAGCCACCCTCCTGGGGCACTAGGGCTGCCCGGGTCATGGTGGGCTCCGGAGAGCGGGGAGGAGTGAAGAAGCGCCAGCGCTGCCATGGGGGACCAAGGGGCGGAGAGAGCCCATCTGGATTTTTTGTGCCGCAGCGGCAGCTGCTTTGATAACCAGGAGCCGGCCTGGCCTGACCATGCATCCTATTCAGGACTTTTTTAGAGCATGATGTTTTTGCCAAGAAGAGAGAAAACCTGTGCAGACTTTGAAGTATTAATGGATGTCTGTCCAGTGGTACCATCCATGCAAAAGATCATGTGAGCTCCCGTTGCTCGGTCCCAGCTCCTGCCAACCTAGCAGTTTGAAAGCACATCAAAGTGCAGGTAGATAAATAGGTACCACACTGGCAGGAAGGTAAACGGCTTTTCCGTGTGCTGCTCTGGTTTCGCCAGAAGTGGCTTAGTCATGCTGGCTGCATGACCCAGAAAAACCGTCAGTGGACAAACGTTGGCTCCCTCTGCCAGTAAAGCGAGATGAGTGCCGCAACCCCAGTCGTCTGCGACTGAACCTAACGGTCAGGGGTCCCTTTACTTTTACCGTGATGAAACAAGAGGCTGACCCATCAACCTTTGAGGGCGGAGGAGTCTAAAGCTGGGTAGGGGTTGTTCCCCAAAGCCACCATATGCATTCCCAGAAGACCATGTGGTGGGACTAACACTACATTATGACATATTCATTACTTATATGGGAACTTTGGGAAAGGAAAATAATAGCCACTGGGAGTAGCTCTGGCACAGCAGCAGTGAATTTTGTGCCTCCCCACAAAACTGGCCCAAATCCACCCCCTTCATATTTGTAGTTTGCGAATGGGGCTGTGAAATGTCATTAAACACGATTCATTTGTCATTCTTCATTAGCATCTCTCCTCAGCATGGTGCCCTCTAGCAGTTGTTGAGACTCCAGTTCCCATCCCTGCTGACTATTGGTGAGGGTAACAACCACCTTGCTGCAGCTAAGAAAACCTGAGTCTAGATGGGTGGCCACCTGAGAACCACACGTCCGCCACCATGGGTTCCACGGTATGAGAAAAGCAGGGTACAAATGTAACAATGCATAACACTCTTTGGCCACAGGTTCCTCCATCCCTTGTTTAGCATTGCATATGAGCTAGCTAGTCCTTAGCAAGCAACTAAACGGGGGGGGGGGGGAACAAGCAACTAAACTGGAAAGAGTCATGCTTGCACTCTTTTCCTGCTATAAACTTGGAAGCTGAAAATGTAGAATATAATAATGAAGGCCCCTGCAGGCTTTATAAGCCTCAGGCCTGCCCACCAGCAGCTACAACTTGCAGTCTTCACAGGCAGCTAAGCCCAGACCCTCCAAGTGTCCCTATTTTCCAGGGACGTCCCTGATTTAGAGAAACCGTCCCGGTTTCTGATTTGATCCCGGAATGTCCCATTTTTCCTTAAAAGGTAAAGGGACCCCTGACCATTAGGTCCAGTCGTGACCAACTCTGGAGTTGCGGCGTTCATCTTGCTTTATTGGCCGAGGGAGCCAGCATACAGCTTCCGGGTCATGTGGCCAGCCTGACTAAGCCACTTCTGGCGAACCAGAGCAGCGCACGGAAACGCTGTTTACCTTCCCGCCGGAGCAGTACCTATTTATCTACTTGCACTTTGACGTGCTTTTGAACTGCTAGGTTGGCAGGAGCAGTGTCCGTGCAACGGGAGTTCACCCCGTCGCGGGGATTCGAACCACCGACCTTCTGATCAGCAAGTCCTAGGCTCTGTGGTTTAACCCACAGCGCCACCTGCGTCCCATTTTTCCTTAGGATGTCCCTATTTTCATTGGAGAAATATTGGAGGGTATGGAATTATCCAACCCCCTAGTCGTCTGGAGGCAATCCTGTATAGGGAAGGTTTTTTTAAAAAAAAATTAAAATGTTTTATTAGGTTTTTATATATGCTGGAAGCTGCCCAGAGTAGCTGGGACAACCCAATAAGATGTGTGGGGTATAAAGAATAAAATTATCATTATGGAATGGGATGTCCCTATTTTCATTGGATAAATGTTAGAGGGTATGCTAAGCCCCTTTCAACTGTGAAACGACACAAAGGTCAACTTGCATTGGTTCAGACCCTTCCTCGCCTCCTGCACAGCTCCCGAGGTGTGTGGCACACCATGCAACCACTGTGAAGCAGGGCCCAGGCTCTTGGCGAGACCAGTTCCAGCCTGCAGGCTGTGCGTTAATTTGTTGAATTTGCCTTTTCTCTCATAAATTAGTCACTCTTTTATTGAAGAGAAGTGGGAGCCCTACAAAGAGAACTGAGCAAGTCCCAACGGGAGCCCTGCAAGCTGCGGATTGTTTGTGTGTGGGGGTTTGTGCACATCTTTTCTGCTCAGAAAGTATTAATGTAAAATTTTTGCACCCGCTATAGGCATGGCTCCAGCAAGAACAAAACTCTGTGCTGCTCCGAGGTTGGATTAGGAGTGTGCTCAGATAATGACATCTGAAGAACAAGATGGCTGGGAGCGGCAGCAGAGTAACCGGGTGGGGGGGGTGTCTTTGAAAGAGAGAAGAGCCATAATCCCACTTTGATACCAAGGGGGGGGGGGAATGCTTGCAAAGACTCAGTTTGGCACAGATTATGCCACTGATTCCAGATCCTTTTGGCAGTGCAGAGAGGCCAGCAGATTCTTTGCTATGGGCTCTTCTGCACTCTGCTCTTTCTATAGGTAGCAAGGGTTGATTTGGCCAGAGATGTGGTGTGCATTTTAAGCACTCAGGAGGAGAGTAATGTGTAGTGTTTCTAGGAGCATATGGCACATTTCTAAGAGAAAAACAGCTTACGTAATGTGTTCCTGTCTCCCCAGCCTATTTTAAAATATAGGCATTACCTACGGTTTGGGCATGATGCCAGAACACGGTTTGGTGTTCTTTGAGTAAGCTTTGGACATATGCACCCCATCTTCCTTTTTGACACCCCTAATTGCTGTCAAGCAAGTTGATCAATGCATCCAAATAGTGTACAAACAAAAATTTGCTTGCAAACCAGAATCGGACATTGTGGCACTTTCCACAACCACAGTTTCCAGGTCTGGTTTGCTGCAAACATACTAGGTGTTGCAGGGTTTTTGCCTCATTTGTGAACAACTTGGAAGTCGTGGAAGGGGTTGGAATGCAGGAAGGGAAGGAGAGCGTGAGCCTGAAGCTTGTTTATGTATTGATAAACCATGGTTGGACATTATGTTTGAACTGATCCATTATGAAAAGTTGGGCTTCTGTTTCAGTAGCTGGGGATGAATTCTTAGCAAAGCTTAAAGGCCTGTTGCTGGCTGGATATGGTGTAGATTAAATTACACACACTCCCCAAAAGCACCATAGTGTATTTTAAGTTAGTACTGATGTTGTTTTCTTATACCTTAATAATAACCAAAGCTTTGTTACCAACCCAGGAGTTTGTGTTTCTAAAAGAAAGAGGGACTGTACCTGTGTCAGCTATATTTCTTCTTAAGGGGTTGGACTAGATGGCCCTCAGGGTACCTTCCAACTCTGCAATTCTATTATTCTATCCCTCACCATTAGCTGTGGTGGCTGAGGCTGATGGGACTTGGGAGTCTAACCTCATCCCCACACGTTGACTGCAAACTATTATGAGGACTAAGCTTACTAATGAACGGCTCTCAAAGGCCTGCTCCGACTAGGTTTGGTCTCCCTCTCTCTTATGCCAGAAACTCAGGGCCACCCAATCAAATTGATCAGTAGTATATTCAGGACAGACAGAATGGTATAGTTGTTCACAAAGCACATTGTTAACTTGTGGAATATGCTGTCCCCAGGTCTGTTGCTAGATCCTTAGAAAATAGAAATTTGCATATGCTAATTTATTTGAACAGATGCAAATTTAGGCCAGCTTTCAGAAAGAGGTTGTATCGAATGCTAGCCCTACTAAAGAGTTGACTCATTGAAACTAAGACACTGATAACTTAAGCCCACTAATTTTTATGGATCTGCTCTGAGTAGGACTTAGTTGGATACCACCCAAAGTATCCTGTAAGCAACGTGTGAGGGGTGGGGTGGAGGGTAAGCAACAGGACCCCTGGCTCCAAGATCTGTATTTATGAATGTTGTTAGCCACTTTGAGGACTATAGTTGAAAGGCAGAATATAAATCACTTAAAGAAATAATGAATAAGGTGTGTGTCTGTGTCCGCTAGCTTATATGGCTTTAAAAAGAAATCAGACCATTTCCTGAAGGGTGATGTCAGCAGGTATTGCCTGCAAGAACTAAACAGACCATTCTGCTTTAGACCAGCTCTTGCCTTCATGACCTGTGTGTGCTTCCTGGAGGTGTCTGATTGGCCACTGTGGGGAATAAGATATTGCACTAGATGGGCCTTTTGGTCTGAACCAGCAGAGCTCTTCTTAATGTCCTGTCTTCTTCTTGTTTAGGAGTCAGCATGCAGAGTTTGTGGCTGCCCAGAACTTGGAAGCACTCCATTGTCATGGATCTTGCTTCTCTCCAACCCAGATTTCAACAAAGAGGGTGAAGGTGGCTAAGCCTTTGCAGAAGAGGCTCAATCATAAAAGTTAGCCCCTCACATTCCGGTGCTCAGTTCACCTGACCCACCCCTTAGATCATGGGAAGGTAGGTTTGTGTGTTTGGTCAATTTTGCTGCTGTCATACTTTGCCAAGGTATACACAAAATTGGGCTGTGTTTCATATGTTTTATTCCATTTGTGTACTACTAGTAAGTTGGGATCAGCTTACAATGGGTCACACCAGTGGCACTAGAATGTACATTTTTATGCTTTTAAAGAAAAGGCAGGAAGAAGAGAGTAAGATAGAACTATACTAGGGGTGTGTGTGTGTGTGTGTGTGATGACTTAACAACTGTCATGATTTACTCTCTCCCAATGAATCCTGATTATTTTTTCAGTGTGGGTGCAAAGAGCTGCCTGCCAGAGATTTTGGCACCCCTGGAACCCTATCATTGGCTAAGGAGAAAGATCACTTATAACCAGTCTGTCAGCAGTGTCGATACATCCTAAGAAACAGGAACACATCTCACAAATTAAAACAAAGATCCCTTGTTGTGTTTAAAAGTGGGCCTAGAGGTGGAACAGCACTGTTATGTGTAACTCATTGGATGATTTTGGAGTAGGGGCACAGTATTTTCTGGGGAAATGGAGAATTAGAACATTGGGGCCCAGTACCACCAGGGAAGCAGGCTGAAACTGATCCTGGGCTCATTTGAGGAGTCGCTGGTAGGCCCATGATCTCCCATGTGTTTTTGGAGTTAATTAAGAATCAATATAAACACAGAAGCTGCTCATACTTTTGTCTTCATGGGTGAAGGTGACAAAGGCATCTATCTATCAGGCCGCAGTGAAACTTCATTTGAATCCAAGCTTGGTTATGACCAGAAAGTCCTGTTCCCAGCCTCCGTTCCTCTGCCTGCAAAATGTGGGATTACTGAGCTCCAGGCAGAGTGCATGGTCTCTTTCTTTTATCTTAATAATCTTCTGAATTAGGTGAGCCTAAGCGGGAGGCAGACTTCTGCAAGGTCATCTAGTGAATTCCATGGCTGAGTAGTGATTTGAACTCAGTGTGACACGTTATTCACAACACACAGTACATTTAGCCATTCTACACACCAACCTCAAAGTAATTTGCAAGTCTTTTTTTAAAAATAAATTTGACTATTGTTTAGATCAGTGTGGTCCTATAGGCCTCTTTACCTTGTCCCTTAGGCCTCTCCCTAGCCACGTCGCTCACTGACCCTGCTTTGTGCCCTCTTTTGAGTGGTTGGTGGTTTTTGTTTTTTTGGCTCACTGGAATGTGTCCTTAACTCTTACAATGCCTCTTGGTTGTCTGGATGGAGGATAGAGAGGGGTGCCTCAGTGTGTGTGAAACTAACTTATGGTACAAAGGCAAAATCCACATGTGCTGTTTTCCTCACTTTTGCCTCTGGCCCCAGCGACCCTGGCATGTGGCCCTTGGAAGGTTGCCCAGAAAGGCAGAAGTTGTCCTTGAACTGAAAATGGTTCCCCATTCCTGGTTTAGATGATTGTTGCATCACCGGGCATTTAACCAAAGGCGCTAGATAGCCCTTAATGGTATGGATATCTCTTTAGGCTTTGGAATGCCACACCTCGTATCTGTACATTTTGTAACTCTTTTTGAGCTGCTATGCATACCTGACCTGCAAAGGCAGTGTTACAGCCCCAAGAGTTCTTCTTTGGCTCAGTTTTTAGAATGTTTGGGTTGCAGGGTGGGAGGGAGGGACATAGGGGTTGAGCTCAGACTCCATTGTGTTTCTAGTGTCATCATCAGGAGAATTGTGGGGTCTGTTAGTCTGGGGTTTAATGAAGCTATTTTTTTCTGCATATGGGGAGTATAATTTGGTTTTCCAGACCCCCAATGACTGGCTTAACCTGGGCAGCATGTAGCTTTCTACAATGCCAGTAATTACCTAAGCTTTGCTCTTGGAGCAGAGAGACAAAACATGTCTGAGCTCAAGAAGTGTTGTTAACTAAATATGTTAAATAAATAATTAAAAGGTAGGACTTTTAAAGATGCTAGTTAAAAGTCAGTGCAATGCTACAAATCAACAGAAAGCTGTGATTGGTTGGCTTTTTGTTTGTTTGGTTTTTTCCAGTTTTTATTGAGTGAAAATGTCAAACCTTGCATCAGTCATGCAAAAAAAATAATCAAATAAATAAAACACATATATTAAATTTCTAATAGCACTAAATTCAAGTGGAAAAATATTCAGTTCTTAATAACATAGGTGCTGAGAAGACCAAATTCAAGTAAAATCAGAGCACACCGTCCTGTTAGGATTTTTTTTTCACTTTCTGCATTATTATTTTTTGTCTCAAAACCTATATATAGCTATATATCTATATATATAGGTATATACATATAGATATATACACACACATATATATATATGTGCATACATATTATATTTATATTTATATATATACACATACATATTTATAAAACATTAAAAAGAGCATTGGTAGTTCAAGCATCACTTCTTCTTTTTCTCCCTCCCCACCCCTCCCACACAGAAAGAAATAAAATAAAATAAAAACAACAACAAAAGAAAGTACATTTTAAAATTCAAAATGAGCTAGCAATGGCTTATAGTCCTAGTGTGCAATATGGATTTTACAAAAGGCTAGAATTTCTCCCTCATATTTTTGTCTTCCTGTTCTTCTGTGTGTGTATGTTTGTGTATGTGTTTTCCTTTTAAAATCTAGGGCCATTAAAAAACAAACACCATTTCTTTTTCTATATTGAAATACAGTTCTCTTTCAATACAGGTGAACTTTATAATAATTTATGTATTTATTTGGTGGCTAGGTTCCTCCCTCCCCCCCTTTTTCAACGACAAAGCAGTAATGAAAGGATCTACACTTAGGGTTTCAGAGGTTTGGTTTTTAAAACTCTCTCTCTTGTTCTTGACACATCCCCCCAAAAAACATGGTCCCCTTAAAGCCACCAAGTTCTATATTCTGCTGGCTCCATTTCAGCAATAGCTGTCAAAGCATAATATGCCTTTTAAATCTATGGCCACCAGCTGTCGTCCTGGAGAGGTGCAAACTGGCTGCCTAAACCTCATCTTCTCCGCACATCATCAGCACCACTATCACTTATGCTTGGGACTACTAAATTTCCATGGGATACAGGACATGAATGTGAGCCTGCCCAGGGGCAGCGGGAACAGAGGACGCATTTACCAGCCCTGTACTTTCAGCCATGCTAAATTTTACCATGTCCAAATTTGCCTACTGTGAGTGGGATGAGAGGACACAGAATCAGGAAAGGTTATGTTGTGTGGGGGGAAAGGTTGAATAATCTTGCTTTGTTGCTAACTGGTGGCCTCTCCTGCTCTGTAAAATGACACGCTTAGGGTCCATCCAAAGGTTTATGCTTGCTCTGAACTTTTAAGCTCATTCTTAAATGTCCTCCTCTTAACACCTGGGGACACTGAAGTGCTTCTTCCTGAATCAGGATGTCCATATGTCCATCAGGATGCAGTTGATAAACATTTAACATATATATAAATATAAAGACCTGTTTTTTCATTCTTTTTGTTTTAGGCAGAGAAGGAGGTGGAGAAGGTTGTGATACTGGGGAAGTATAGAGGGACCAGTCATTAGGTGTTAAAACTAGTTCAACTTGGCAGGCTTTTTGTTGGAACTGAAGGTGGTCGAAACAATGGGGAAACTGGTTACTGGGTGATTCTCAGTGGGGAATAACCATTCCAGTCAGATCCAAACAGCTACATAGGAAGAGGTGCATAACTGACTAATGTAAACTGTACCTGTTCTGCAAATTCTTCTCTTCCCACCCCTTCCTTTCTTGCCCACTAGTAACCACTGGCTTCTATGGCCAACACCAATGGACCAGAAACCCAGGGGAGGCCATTTTACTACCCTGCCACCACCAGAGGGTCGTAACTGCCTGCTTGTATTAAAAAAGACCCCAAAATGTATAGAAACATAAAACATAGGGCTTATCCATTGCCTCTCACCCTGCAGTGTATCACAGGTTTCCAAAACCTTGACCGCAAGCAGGAGTTTTCTGTAGCACCTTTTAGCGAGACACCTAAGTGGTGAGAACTAGAGGGGGATAAGAATGTGCTGAGAGTTTGCCCAAACTTCTTAAACATAAATACCTCACTACCACGCTCACCAAACTCAGGTCCTTTCAAGAGACTGAGAGGACAGGGAAGAGTAAGACCTCATTGTGCCTGTTCTCTTAGGTAATTTTGATGTGCATCTGTTGATGTGACCTATGGTCACACTATGAGACCATAACCTGCCCCATCCTGGAATTTAAAAAAGCAGAGGAGTCAGCGGTGTGGAGACTTGCTACCATCTAATTAGATGTTCCAAGGAGCACCTTTGCCAAGTCAAAACTACCAGGAAAAGGTAGGCTCTTGGTGAGGTTTATTTTTTAGAAAAAAAAAATATTTATAACCTGACTGCCCATACGTTTGAAATGGCTAATAATTAATTACATTTGTTTTATAAAAATCCAGAAACAGTTATTAATGAGGTTCAAGCTTTTTCTTTTAAAGCTGTGGGAAGAGTCATAGGAGGCTGAGATGGTTCTTGAGGAAACAATTGTCCCCAACCTCCCAAAATAAAATTAAGAACAAATAAAAAAAATCCTATGCATATTACTACAAACCAAATTGGAGTGTGTCTGTGGATAAGAGAGAATGGTGTGTCTGTGGATAAGAGAGAGTGCATGAAGTGTGTTTCATTAAATGACAGGGCTTTTTTTGTGTCTCTTTTAAAATGTCTGTTTGGCTGAAATTCAAATTCAGAATCACTTGATACTCTATACTGAGAGTAGGAAAATGATGTTAGGGAAGACCCCCTTTCTGTAGCTTTTGCCCCCCCCCCAACAAGTTTTTTGGCTAGCTGGAGGTGGTGGGAATTAGTGTCCACACTTGTGTGTGAAGGAGATAATTGTTGGTGAGCAACCAAATAGGATGTTGAAGGGTCTGTTCCTCAGGGTAGCATTCTTCACTGGATACTCACAGAGTATTATCTTGGTATGGCTCCTTTCTCTCTGTTCTATATATTTCTATATATCTCTATATCTATTCGTAACCTTTACAGGGGCAAAAATACTGTACAGCTATCTTTTCCTGGACATATCCTTTATCCTTTTCTTTGCCACTCTTAGTTTTCCTCCTCCTTTCCCTTACTGTTAATATTTTAAGAAACTTTAAAAAGTGTCCATGGACCACATTCTTACTGTTGAACTGTCAAGTTGTTTTGGGTGTGATTGTTTGAGAGGGATTCAAAAACTAAGACTAATAAAGCTCTCAGCCTTTTTTTTTTTTTGCACTAAAATGGCATGTCTGTTAGACACAAGGGTTGTTGTGTGTGGTTGGTTTCATTAGCTTTTAACGACTCAAAACCACCAAATGTATTGGAAGCAAAAGACCTATCTGCAGAGCCATTGTGGGTGCCTGTTTCCTTCTTTTTTTAAAAAAAAAAACATGCCCTCCCCCCTTTTAGGATATGCCTTATCTGGTGACTTGGGGGAGTGCAGGACAGGTAGGCAAGGGACATTAGATTATTTGTATGCCAAATGAGTTTGCTGTGCAGCTGCTTTAATTGTGGAGCAACAAATTCAAGTGGCCTCTTCCTTTCCACAGCTCCACAAAGGGCAAAGGGACAGGAAACATTTCTGTCCTGGGATTCAGAAGAGCATCACCCTCTCTGCCTGAGAATCTTAAGGTAAGAGCCCTATGTGTGGCTTGATGGGATGGGTTGTAGTAGCTAATATTTATCCTCCCCCAACTTTTTCCCACTAAAAGACGCATGCCCTCTTTCAGCCTTCATAAAGCATGCTTAAATGGGGTGAAGGGGGGAACAATGGTAGAGAAGGGTAACACCTCTGCTTCCTTCCTGTAGCTAAGCCATCCCCCAGTACTACTTGGGCCTGCCTACTCTTCATGAGGTACGTGCATCCTCCACCTCCTCTTCTTTCATTAGCAGCGAGGCGGAGGGGTATCCTGAGCTCCTGGGTCTCTACCCTACTTGTTGGGGGTGGCCCTGCAGTCTGGAAAAGAAGCAGTTGGCACCCCCTCTCCGCAAGGCAGCGGTGTTTGGATTGGCTCTGGTTAAATCCAAGCCTCCCTTTCACAACCAAGGGTTCTTTTCAGTGCCGTACCCCGTACTTGCTGCCACCGGTCAGAGCCCCACCAGAAAAGGAACACTCCCCACTCAGGTGTGGGAGTGTCACAATATAAATAAGTTCTTTCTTCCTTAAAAAAAAAGAATATTATTATTATTCTTTAATAACAAAGAGGATCAGAGAAGTATCCGCATATTCCCAGCCCCGTTCAGTTCATTAATGCTTCTCTTTCTCTTTTATTTTTTTAAAAAAACTGACAATAAATACCCCATTTCCCAACCCAACCCAAGCTGCCTGAGACCCCCATTTCTCCTGTTTATTTGATGTTGGAGAAGAGAGGAGAGAGAAAAATAGAAGTATGACTGATGCCCTCCCCCAACCCCAATTATGCCTAATGGCGAATAACTTCGCTTTTGTGGCTTAAAGGAACCAAATCCTCATTTTTGTAAATAATATATTATTATCACCCCCTAATATTCACCATCGGATGCTAGCTGCCCCCTCTCCCTGAGAATGGGAGGAGTGTTAAAGGACAAAATGAAAACAGGAAAATAAAATAGAAGTTAAAGAGGAAAAGAAACAACTCCACTCCCCCCCTCCAAACCAACAAGGGGAGATTTTGGGGGAAGTGGCAGGGGAGACATTTGCCCTTATGGTTAGCACATCCATCCAGGAGAAGGAGGGTCACTTCTCCATGGCCCAACCCATCTGCATATTAGTAAAAAGATTTGCCGTCTGCCACCCTGTAAACATGTGCGTCCCAACAGATGGGTCCCTCCGCCTCCCCCTGCCCTTCCCATGGGCACAAGGCTTCTTTCCTTTTTATTTTTTGCATGGTCCAAGGATTAAGCGGCTTCCTCGTTATCTTGTGCACTTCCTGGGGTGGAGTTGGGTGTGTGTGTGTTTCTCTTTGCTGCTTGTCGTTCCAGCGTTTGTTCTTGCCTCACATAGCGGGGTCCTCTCATTTAATTCAGTTTCTTGTTTTTTTTAAAGATCAAAAAACCCTGCTGTCTATAAGTTAAGGGGAGGCCTCAGGGGCGGGGGCTTGCTCGCCTGGAGGTCTGGAAGCATCGCTGTGGACTGCAGAAGGAGAAGCAGCCTCCCCCAGTTCCCTAACGTCCTTTGCAGGCATGGCCTGGGGGTCAGGAAGTGACTCTTCAGAGTCTGTGTTCAGATCTTCCTCATCGTCATCGTCATCATCGTCGTCATCTTCCTCCTCCTCGTCTTCCTCATTCATTTCCTCCTCCTCCTCCTCCTCGTCGTGGGAGGAGTCGTCCTCCACGTTGCCACAGCTGGCTGGAAGCCGCTCGCTCTCCACGGGGACCCCACCCTCCCCGGCGGGGGAAGGGCAGCGCCCGCAGCCTCTGGCAATTTCTGGCTGAGGTCCAAGGAGTCGTTGAGGCCCACGCCCGCTGCATTCTGCAGGAAGAAGAGGGAGCTGTTTGTGTCAGTGCCGAGGTTGAGCGAGCTGTCAAGGTTGACGGAAGAGTTCTGCGCATCGTACTCCAGAGTGGAGGGCGGGAGGGCCTCGGGGCCCGGAGAGATGGCCGGCAGCTCTCCACGCTCCTGTTTCTCATGCTTGCGCTTGTGCGAGTCCATCTGCGACATGCCCACCACCGTGTGCTTGCAGCCGGGGTAGGTGCAGTGGAAGTGGGAGCACTTGAGTTTGTACTTGCAGTCGGGCACCTCGCAGTCCACGCTGGAGCTGAACTGACAGAAGCCTGCGGCGCTGATGACGTCCTGCTTGCCGTGGTGCTTGCGGTGGGCCGTCACCTTGGTGCTGTCGGTGCAGCGGAAGCCGCAGCGCAGGCAGTGGAAGTGCGTGCTGTTTCCCGAGAACTGGCAGTCGGGGAAGTTGCAGCTCAGGGAGGACTTGAAGCGCTTGAAGTCGTCCAGCACCAGGTTGTCGACGCGGTCGTGGTGCTGGGCATGCTTGTACATGTGGGTGCGGCCGCAAAACTTGTAGCCGCAGTTTTCCCTTGTGCAGTGGTAGTGGGTGACCTTCAATGAGAACTGGCAGCTGGCATCCTTGCAGTCTTCGTAGAGGTCGTAGCGCCGGAAGCCCTCCAGCATCATTCCTTCGTCCAGCATCTTGCGGGAGGAGGCCGTTTTGCGCCGCTTGCCAAATGGGGACATGTCCTCAATGATCCAGAAGCGCTTCTTGGCCCCTGCGGCAGTTGGCATGGTGATGGTGTTCCCTGGGGAAATGAAATGGGCAGAGGGGATTTTAGAACAGGACTCTGCATCAGACCCACTTCTCTTTCCTGCCTAGCTAATTGGGGTGGGGGTTCAGACAAGCAGTGTTTGCCCAGTGTTTCTTGATCTTTATGGTTTCTAGGCAGTGAGAGGAATGGCAATACTGTACGTAGGCTCCTTCAGGCAAACTCATTCCATCCACCTCATCCCCAAAGCCTGGCCACTGCAAAGCCAATCTTTTCATTCCCTTGAAGTGGTTTGGCAAGAGATGAATAGACTTAAGAGATGGAGAAAGGAAGGCCTTGTACTTCTGGTCATTACACCTTTTTTTTACCTGCTCTGCCTTTGTTCCTTTGGCACTTTATCTGTGAGAGAGTGCTTTGTGACTCCACTCTCGTACCTAAATATTTGTACTCTCACTACATCAAAGGAGCAGTAGCCGCAAGCCAGGACCAGACCATGTTAATAAACCACGGGCTCAACACTATTCCCTCTCTCTCTCTTTTTTTAAAAAGATGTTTTACCTGGAACCTGCATGTGACATGGAGCAATGAGCAACTCGTCTGTCATCTGATATAAGTTTACTGTTTCATTCACTCAAAGTCAGACATGGAGAATCTGCAGCCCTCCAGATGCTGTCGGATTCCAATTCCCATAATCCCTGACCATGTTGCCTGGGGGTGATGGGAATTGGAGTCCAGTGACACAAGTTCCCCAGTGCTGCTTTATGAGCTTTCTCTCCTTGCGTTTTTTAGGAACAAGCTAGTAAGTAAGGGTGACTTAAATGAAACACAATAAAATGAACTAATTATGCCTATAAAACCAACAACCACATGCATCTAATGTTGCTCCAACAACTTTCCTGGGCCATGAATACACAGACCTTCAGCCTGCACTGACCCCATCTTGCTCCTCCCAGAAGTGGTAAGGGGCAAGTCCAGAATGGGCTGTGTAGTCTCCTGGGCAAGAGCAGCACATTGGGAAGCCTGTCCCTTAAAAACAGTTTGCATAGGAAAGAATATTTATGCCCAACCCAAAGAGTGAAAAGGGGTTTTCACAAGGGATAAATTTAGGAGACCACATCACTGGGGTCAAATTCTCATGGGACAGCACCCAATGTTTAGGAGCTGGCAGCATTCTTAACCAGGGCTGAATAAACATTTCAGATTTCTAGGCTCTGTACCCTACTTGGGCCACCATGACTGTAGAGAGATGGTGATTGGGTGAGCCAGATTTGAGTCTTGAGGTTGCTGCTGTGGTGGGAGTTGATGAGTACATTCAGGTAGCGTGCTAAACACCTGTTCATGTGCAAATCATTTCTGAAAATGAGACTAGTTGCCTAGTCCAAGAGTGGCTAAGCTTTTAAGGGCCAAAGGCCACAATGACCCACCATCAAGTCTTTGGGGGCTGCATATCAAAGTGGTTATTTAACTGTCATAAAACCCCTTTGCTATTAGCCGCTCGCATTGGGCGTTTGTGATCAGAGGGGCAGAGGATCAATCAGTAATTAGAAACACACACACACACACACACACACACACAATTAAAAAATATGAACAAATGTTCCTTTTTTAAAGAAATCACTTTTTGTGCTGAGGTGGATTTCTCTGTGGCCTGTAGGTTAACCTCCCCTCGTCTTACCTACTATTGCAATCAAAAATTGGTCTTCTGTAAATTGATTTTTATATATTAAAAAATGGCAATCCAATAACTGTAGGTGTCATTTTGAGCATCAGTTTGTCATCGCTAGGACTTTAGTGGAAGGACAGAGGGGTGAAGCCTTTTGGGTAGGATGTGGTGGGTGGGGCTGTAAAAGCATGAGAGAAAGTGTAGAATGGTTTTACCTGCCGCATCCTGCACTAGAGGGACATCGCTTTTGACTGGAGTTGGGGCGGCAATGATGGGTGAAAACCCTGTTGAGCTGGCGGTGGGCAAGACAAGGCCCCTGCTGGATCCCAGAGTGGCACTTAGCAGAGAGTATGAGACACAAGATGGAGAGAAGAGATACGGGAGGGAAGGAAGGGGAGACCTGAGCAGGGCTTGTGAGAAAGATGGAGGCAGAGATGGTGGTTGTGGTGCATTTTGGGTAACGTCATCACCAGCAGCAGGAGGAGGAGCAGCAGCAGCAGCCAGGCAGCCTGGAGAAATGTGGAAAGAAAGAAAAAAATAGCAGGGGGGAAAAACAGAACAGAAGGAAAAGAAAAGAAAAAAATAGAACCAAAATGAGAACCCAAGAGTGTAAGCAGTACAATGAAAATGGAGAGCACGTTCACACGTACAAGAATGGAACCACTGACAGAGGAGATGGAGAGTGTGATGGACAGCAGTGATGGAGTGAGCATACCCAGAGACCAACAGGGAAGAGCAAGAGGTGGCAGAGGTCCCTGTGAGTATCAAAAGAGGGACTGCAGTTTTACCGCCAGCCCTCCCCATCTGGTTTGTGGCAGGCTGGCTACAGTCAAGCACAGTCATCCTGGAGAGGTGTGATGAGCAGTGGTGCAATTTAAAGAGGAGTATGGCTGCTTCCTTAGTGCTATGAGTTTCTATGCTCTGCCCTGTTTGTGGAGTGGTTGTGATTAGCATTTACTTGCTGCCCTGATATGGACCGGTGTTTTTTAGTAGTGCATTTCCACCAGCCCCAGCAGGCTGCCCCAAGCAAAGGCCATCAACTTGAACTGTGGTGTGGGGAACAGTTACTTTTAAAAATGGCTATTATGGGGATACTCTGAGGCATCTTTTTAGGTTAATGCTCCTTGATGAAATTGTGGGGTGTGCCAGCCAACCACACTGACGTGTCCCCCTGATAACCCCAAGCTCTGGCACTCTTGCTTACATTGGTGACAGGTGCTAGAATTTCCCCCCAAAACCTGGATCACAGTTTAATAATCTCCCCAAAGGGCAACTGTGTAAAGTTCAATTTGTTTGATCACTGGGATGGTGGTGGGGAGATTTTAAGTGAGCAAGTACTAATATCTTTATTTCCATCAGGCATTATTTTAGCAAGGTATGAGCTGCACAGCCCATTCTGGATCAGAATAAAAATACTTTCACAAACCAGGAATGGTGATGTCAAAGGGGCTCTCTTAGATGACACAGTGATGTCTCTTGCTGTGTCACAGGCGGAGAGGAGATCCCGCATGGCAGGAGGAGAATTTGGCACAGCTTGGGCGAGAGAGCACCCAAGGGATGCAACTTTTAGGCTGCTCAGAAGCAAAGCAATAAACCGTTTCCTCCCAGTGTCACTTACCGGCTGAAGTGCTTTCGTTGCCCACTGGCGTGCTGGAGCAGCTGCGGTCCATATTGGAGGACTCAGAGGAGATGCCACCAGGACTGCATCCTGTGTAGTCAATGTACTCATCTGTCTCGGTATCCATCATGCTTTGGGGTCCCTGGAAGGAAGCAGGAGTCCCTGATGAGGCTGGGCTGGGAGCCATGCTGCTGACTTGGGGGAGGTTTTCGTTCCTTGGAGTGTGTCCAATAACCTGCAGCGAGAAACGCGATATTGGGAGGGGTGTGTTTGACTTCTACACCAATAACAGTAGTTGGGTTCCAAGTGGACATCTGTTTGGTGCTAGGTCATGTTGGCTAGCACAATCAGGCTGGCATCATATACATCACCTGCCTAAAGGGTGTTAATGCTGGCATTGTGAATTCTGTGTATATATGCAGAGGATGCCACCAGAGCCTGGGCCTGGGAGTGTTAATCTTGGCATCAGCATTGGGCTGTGTTGAACTTGCTGAATTTAGCAGCTGCGACTATGGCAGAGGCAGCATGTGCATTAAGATGTGCTGGGGGGAGGGGATCTTTTGATTCTGCATTACATTACTACTACCACTACTACTACATTTGCCACCTGCCCTTCACCAGCAGGTCCTGGGGTGGGTTACAGCACTTTAAATTTCAGAATTAAAAACTGTTAAAACAGAGGAAAGTTACAGGAACAGGGTGGGTCCTGAAAACAGACACCTCGGTTATCAAAGGCCAGAGCAGAGTGTTCACAGCATTCGCTGAAATCTGTGTAGTGCCAGTGCAATATGCACCTCTGTGGGCAGGAAAGTCTACAACTTAGGGGTGGCAACCCCCTGCCAAGTTTCTGAGGGCAATGGAATGACTAAAAGGGCCCCCTCTGCTCAACTGTAGGGAAGGAAGTGGTTTCTCAGACATTTGGGGCCTGAGTCATTTAAGACTTTTAACACAAGCGAGAACACTTTCAGCTGGGCCTGGGAACAAACTGGCAACCAATGCAGTTGTTTTAAAATAAGAGCAAAGGGGGATAATATAGGGGGGTGATTCTAATGTCACGTTTTCTAATATAACTGGAATGCTTTTTGAATATTTGCAGAAGTAATACAATGGTAGAACTGAATGTGAATGCAGATTTTAGAGCAAAGATCAGGAGCCATGAGGAATTTTGAAGATTCTGCTTTCACATCTTGTCCTGGACAATTCACATAGGTCTTGGGGAAGGGCTGTAGCTCAGCGGGAAAGCATCTGCCTGGCATGTAGAAGATCCTAATTCCTGTTAACTTCAGGTGGGCCTGGAAAAAGCTCCTGCCCAAAGAGCTGCTGCCAGTCAGTTCTGAGCTGAATAGTCTGACATGATATAGCAACTTCTTACGTGGGGAAGTGCCATAGCTTAGTGGTTTCTAAGCATATTTATAGCCACCCTGCAGGAGGAGTCACCTGAGTGGGAACACGGTCGAAGTTCTTCCCCAGCATCCTCCTCATGTGCTTCCTGGCATGGGATGTCATCTGATGCTTCAGGAGGAAGGAGAACTGGCAGCCTTCACGGATGCAATGGAAATGGCTGTTCACTTGGTTGTACTTGCAACCTGGGAGAGAGGGAATGCAAAACAGATGCAAACCTCGTAAGTTAACAGTGGCCAGGAGTGGAGCAGCTGTGCTCCGGGCAGGGGGCTTGGCAATGGCTGCTGTCCTATTTGATCTCTGAGAGAGTGCAGCAATTGGGACTGACTGCTGGCTCTTCCGCATCCCCAGACTTGTGTGTTAAATACTTCCTAATGTGGGAGAACAAGGCAGAAAGGATTCTCTTGCTGAAGAGGGGTCAGGAAAAAGAACTTGTTTTAAACTAGTAGCATAGGCTTCTGACACAGGTAAGAGGGCGGGGGGGGGTTACTTTATTAATTGTCTTAGAATCCAAGACTTAAATCAGGTATAGGGAACCGGTGACACTCCAGATGTTGCTGAACTAACTACAACTCCCAGCAAGCATGGCTAATGGTCAGGGATGGTGAGAGCTGTAGGCCAGCAACATCTGGCAGCCAGAGTTTCCCCACATCTGATTAAGATGGAAGGATGTCCTTCCCCTACTTTCCTCACCTAGTCCAATCAGTGCACATGGCACAAAGCCTGCCTGGCAAGGGGGTCAGTGTGGAGGAGGTCTCGTGTCACCTAAAGGTTTTTAGGGCCACTCAACGTGAGTGCTGGTTGAATCCCTTCTGCTTTGCCAAAGGCGGTGGTGGGAGAAGTCTCAAACGAACAAGGAGAGAGAAGGGCTACATGGCTCTAGAGTAATAATGGGGAACCTTTGTCCTCATAGGTGGTGGTGGGACTCCAACTCCCATCAGCCCCAGCAAGCAGCACAGCCAATGGCCAGAGAGGATGGGAGAGGTATTCCAGCAACATCTGGGGGAAAGATGAGTGAGATAATGTATGTGAAGCCCTTTTGGTGTCCTAATTTTTCTATGTAATTAACTAAGTAAGGCTGCAACATTTAATTTATTAATTGGCTAGATCAATCCATTAAAAACCATGTTGATAGACTAAAAATGTGTCCAAATTAATTGGACAACATTTTTTTGAAGCCCAGTTTTTAAATGCAAGTAGTTATGAAAATTGCAGCTGGCAGAAGGGGATCTGCATCTCCTAAGTTAATGCCTTGTGCATTAACAAAAGCAAAAGAAACACATTTTGTTTCGTTTGTTTCAGAACAGATTTGTGTAAGTTTAATCAATTAACTGAGTAACTTGGTAAGATTCCTTTAACGGATGGCAGCCCTGATTTCTCCTTTTTCTTTGGGGGTTTAGATGAGGGTGGCCCTCTGGCTGTAATGTTGGACTCCAACTCCCATCAGCCCCAGAGGTAGCATGGCCAGTAGGCAAGTGATAGTGATGATTCAGAGGATGGTGCCAGAGCTCAGTCTGTTCAACACCTGTTTAGAAAAAAAACATTGTTCTGCTTGCCCAGAAGCTCACGACTATCGAACTGAACCAGGCTCTTGGCCTTGTTTGAGGAATATTTGGGTGCATCACTTTGCATGCTTGAAAAGCATCACGAACAGTCCATGTTCACCAACAATATTGTGCACACAAATCCAAACACATCATGAAGAACCTCTTTTCTTCCTCAGCGCATCCATAAATGTCCCCCACCACAACGTCTGCTCCTTGCCAAATTCAGCCAGTGAATTGAGCAAACTGTATGTTCTTAAGAAAGTGGCACTGTTTTATGTCTCTGCCAAGTTTGGTATTTGTTTAAATATTATTCTCTCACCCTGTAGAACCCCCCCATCACCCAGTGCCCCCTGTTCTGTCTCTATCAACCCGCCACCCTGTTCTCCTTTCAGGAAGAAGAACAAACAGTGCTGGCAGGACTGAAACTGTATCGGCCGCAGGCAGGTGAAGGCTTGCCCGTTGCTGGGGCAGCCGAGTGTCATGTATCATCGGGCGGCTTTGTCTGGCCCCAGCCATCCCCTGGAACAGCACTGGTTGAGCAAACAGCGGCAACCGCCAAGCCGCTTGACATTCGTAAGCCAAGACCCAGGTAAGGGGCAGACTGACGGTGTTGTTTGCCGTTGCCCAGGTTACCACAGGCCTCGCTGCCTCTCCAACATGAATTCTTTATGAAGTAAAAAACCCACAAAAACCCACAACCGAATAGGAAGAGATCTCTCTCTTGCTCTCGCTTTGAACGTTGGCTGTTTTGTTTTGTCGTGTGTGTGTGCGCGCGCATATTGGCTATTTTTATCCCCATCAATAGAATCGGTTGTGTTCAGGGGGGCAGCGGGGAGGCAGCCAGGGACACAAAGAAGGCCATGGCTTGTTTGTTCTCCAGGACTCCAGCGAATACATGGTGCCCCAGACAACATGGGGCTAAACACTTCTCTGGGGTGAGAGGTGCAGGTACAGCTGGTGGAGAAAAGAGGGGGTTGCCAGTTTCAAAAGCCAAAGGAGACTCTTCCCCTGCCTACAAATAATGGCTTAGAAGCCAAATTTATCTCCCCACCTCCTTGGACCATCTGTGAAGAGGAAAGGTGGCTGCCTGAAGAAGCCCCTGCTGCTTACAAAAAACTATCTGTCAAACAAGAAGCCTCCAGAATCTCTTTCTGAGACTAGAGCCGCCACATGCATGTGTTCAGTCTAGGCCAGTCCTGCATGGAATCTTTGACTGCAAAGCCAGCAAGTTGGCTGGTTTGAGGTGGGTGGGTGTTATTGGCTGTTCAGACAGGGATTTAGAACCTGTGTCCACACACAACACATACAGCCATCCCTGACCATTGGCCATGCTGGCTGGGGCTGATGGGAGCTGGAGTCCAGCAACAAACACCTGGAGGGCCATCCCCATTGTAGGCCTTCTGAAAAGGGTCTCCACCACTTCCACACACACCTATGACCCTGCTAGACCTCAGCACCAGTTAAACTAAGAGGTGGAAACACCCAGGTCCCAGCTATCACTGGTGCCCAAAAAACTGGTCCTGTCATTTGGATTACTGAGGGCAGAAAGCTGGTTTCTATATGGGATGGCTGTTGAATTTTGCAGATAAATAAGCAACTTAGAACTGGTTGCACCCCTATTGGCACAACCCCTTCTGGTTGCAGTTCAGCAGCTGAGCCAGTGGGGCTGAGTGCTGGGTGCCTCTGCTCATAGTCTGCAGAAGGGGCCAACCATGTGTGGGTTTAGCCCAGGAGGGTTCACTTTTGTTTGCCGTAGCAGCTGGAGGAAAGGAGGGGGAGGTGTTTACAATTTCGTAATTGTTTTTGGCATGGCCCTAATAAGTCTGGCAAGCGGATCTGCCAACCACACACACCCCTGCCGCCTATCAGGCGCTTTGATGTGCCTGGATGGTTGGCATCGAAAGAGGCAATGTGCTTGCCTCCAGCGCCGAAGCGACTGTAGATGCCAGAAGAGAGAAGGGGAGGATTCTCCCCCTTACCCTGCCACTACCACCATTGGGAAATATTTACCCTTTGGCTTTTGCTAGGCAGATCTGGCAAGGAGTATCAAAAAATGTACTGCTCAAGCCAAGGGGTATCGTGCAAAAAGGACTACTGGGAGATTTCAGGGTTCTTCTGTCACACTCAAATTTCTAAGGTGAGCAGAGCAGGTGTTTGCTCCCCGTGACTCTTCTCCTGCAACCAGGGTGAGCAGAGACATCTCGCCTTGCTGGGGAGTTGCCACTGGGGTTGTATCTGTTAGAAACAGCTGTGGGTTGCCTTCCCCACTTGCATTCTTAACTACCCAGGGCAGGACCCACTGATCAAAGGAACTTTTCCAAACCTGTTTGTCTGCCTACCCACACAGAAAGTAGGCGATTTGGCTTGGAATAGAAGTGCACTCAGTTCTGGTTGTATGAAAGGCTAGGGAGATGGTGCAGTTGTAGCAATTGGAGAGCTGGACAAGGAGGTGGGGAAACCTACCTTTAAATCCTCACTCAGCCATGACGTCTACCCTACCTCACAGGGATGTTGGGACAAGAAGAAGAAGAGTTTGGATTTGATATCCTGCCTTTCACTCTCTTTAAGGAGTCTCAAAGCGGCTAACATTCTCCTTTCCCTTCCTCCCCCACAACAAACACTCTGTGAGGTGAGTGGGGCTGAGAGACTTCAAAGAAGTGTGACTGGCCCAAGGTCACCCAGCAGCTGCATGTGGAGGAGCGGAGACGCGAACCCGGTTCCCCAGATTACGAGACTACCGCTCTTAACCACTACACCACACTGGCTCTCCATGTGTGGTGGACAATCATACCATTTTGAGGTGTGATATAAAATAAAATGGCTAGTAAGAAGGGGCTCTTCCCAGGCACTAACGACCTGTATGCTTGCCACTGCACCCTTACAAAAATCAACCTGAAGATTTGTAAGTAAACATATTATTATTTTTTTAGAGAGAGAGGTCACTAGTTTCCCACTTTCTTTCCTCTACAGGAAACAGATCCTGCAAAGGTGGCTGGGAAACTTCCCACTGCTTGGGGGAAAGGGAACAGAATCCGTTATCAAAGGAGAAGGAAGATAACCTGGTGGAAAAAACAGTCTTTATGGAGGAAATTACCAAGAGTGACTGAGTGCAATTATATGCACACTTCCTTGTGAGTTTTAGATCCAGTGTCAGACTTTTTGCTGTTGTCAACTGGTGAAAGATCCTGCCCCAACACTATGTTACACCAGAGGAGAGAGACTTACCTAGCCTGCCGCACTCTTCCCTCTTGGTGAAGTACTTGAAGCCGTTGGCTGCTCTGCGCTCTGCCTTCTCGTGCTTCTTCACGTGCCAGGGGAGTTTGGTGGTGATGTTGGTCACAAAAAAGCAGCCAGGGCGAAGACAGTGGTAATGCCCTCGCATTCGGAACTCACAGTGCTGGAAGGAGAAGATGAGGGCAAGCAAGGTCAGCATACAACACAGCAACCCTGACTCAGAACAAAACCCAACCAAGTTAGCGTGAGGTCTGGTGGTAGGAATGTCCCAGTAGAATTTTTTTCTCTGACCCATATGAAATGCACATATTTATCCGTTTGGATTGTGTTTTCTGCAGATTGCTGTTTGTTCTAATTCAGCTGTAAACAATGGGTTTTTCCAGGGAAAAGCAGCAGGGCAATCGCAAAATTGCTTGGACCATGCCTAGAAAGAATGGGACAAGCAGAAGTGTGGACGAGCCCTTAGCTGGAGGATGTGGCATGAGAGCTAAACTAGGCTAAGCCTGCAGTGCAGTTGTAATTTGGTGGGTGGCACACACAACGGGGCATCGACCCCATTCTGCTTCTCTGGGATGCAACCAGCAAAATTTTACTCAGAGTAGACCTTCTGAAGTTAACGGACCTAAGTCAGACATGCTTATTCATTTCAATGGGTGTAGTCAGAGCATGACACCAGTGGGCTCCAAGTTCCCGCCTGCTCCCCCACCCGCTGTTGTCCCATCACCTCCCAGCCTTTCACCCTTACCTGGTTAGGACAGAGACATTGCAGGGAGTAATAAGCAAACTGGTCTCGCACATTCACGAGGTTGTTGTTGGGGTTGATGTGGTCGAGGCAGTGGGACTCGGCCTTTCCGGAGGTTTTGCACACGTACTTGCAGTTCCCAAACAGACAGTGGAAGTGGAATTTGTTGGCATACTTGCAATCTGTTGCCAGGCATGGATCACTGGGGAATTTTTATTAGAAAGAGGAAGAATAAGTTTCTGGACAGCATTCCCTGAACTCCCTTCTAATTGCATCATCGCTATTTGAAACCAGGGTCCCCTGACCCCCGTGACTAAGATGACTAAGATGCTCCATCCTGGCCTTTCAAATCTCTTCCCTTCAATAATAATAATAATAATAATAATAATAATAATAATAATAATAATAATAATAATAATATATTATTATTTGTACCCCGCCCATCTGGCTGGGTTTCCCCAGCCACTCTGGGCGGCTTCCAACAAAGATGAAAGATACACTAAAATGTCACATATTAGAAACTTCCCTGAACAGGGCTGCCTTCACATGTCTTCTGAATGTCAGGTAGATGTCCTTCAAGGGGCTGGTCAACTAGTTCAGTGGTCGTACACCTGCTTTGTATGCAGAAGGTCCCAGGTTCAATCCCTGGGAACTCAAGCAAAAAGGTTCAGGCGAGCAAGTGGCGGGAAAGATCCCACTTGGCCTGAGACCTTGGAGAGCTACTGCCAGTCCGAGTAGATTTTACTAAGCTAGATGGATCCATTGGGACAAAACAGCTTCCTATTTATCTGTGGTACCTCTGGTTATGAACTTAATTCATTCTGGAGGTCCGTTCTTTACCTGAAACTGTTCTTAACCTGAGGTACCACTTTGGCAAATGGGGCCTCCTGCTGCTGCTGTGCTGCCGCCATGCAATTTCTGTTCTCATCCTGAGGCAAAGTTCTTAACCCGAGGTACTACTTCTGGGTTAGCAGAGTCTATAACCTGAGGTGTTTGTAACTCAAGGTACCACTGTAGTGTCATTGCTACCTGTGGAGACCCAGAAGTATCCTGGCTTTAAACGAGAGGCAGCAGAGCTGGGATTATGGTTGTGTAAGGGGAGCAGCAAGGATATGATCTTTGGGAGAAAACTGCTCTTGGGGAAAATGGTCTGCCTCCCCCAGCCCTCCATTTTCCCCTTTAACTGAAGTCACTCACTTCTCCTGGAACTGGAGGAAGCCAGGTTTGACCTGAGGCTTGGCGTTCTCGAGGGAAGTCGTCGTCAAGGGGGACGTGGCCAGGTTAGGCACTGATGTGGGGATCTGAGAGATGGTGGAAGCCAGTTGTTTCCAGGCCAGGAGGGTGGGAGTGGAGGGCACAGTCACCGAGCTCGGGGTGGGCACATCCGGGGCAGAGGTGTTGGCCAGCGCAGCGGAAGAAGAAGCTGAGGGTGACGAAGGGGCTAAGGAAGTCTTGGTCTCAGCAACGGTTGGGAAAGAGAATTCAGAGCTTCCTTTCACAGCTCCGCCATCTGTTCGGAAGTGGAAACTATGGCAAGAGGGGAGAAAGCAGTTAACATTAGGCTCGTACACTTTATACATGAAAATTGCTTTGAAGCCCACACCTCACCTCCCATTCTGATTAGTGCACCACACCCATGTTTCCAAAGTGTGGAAGCCATTACCTCTGAGTAGATAAAAAGGGTTGTATGCAAGCCCAGTCCTACTCAGAGTAGACCCAGTGATGCTTAGGAGCATAACTTCATTTCATTAATTCAATGGGTCTCCTCCGAGTGCAACTTAGTTCAACACAGCCCAAAGTTCTTTGTTTCCATTTGGACAAAGCTAAGCAACCTTTTCACTCTTCCATCCTTCCTCCTTTATTATCAGCCCCCTTTTTTAAAAAAACAAAAACATCCAAGTTATGCCTGCTTTTAAAACTATTTTTAGTAATAGATAACTCTTTTATTTCTTTCTGGAGGTGGTGCTGGTGATTCCTGGCCTCCAAGGTATCTTAAATCACCCTTTTTATTTATGTCCCAACATCCTGAGCCATGTGAAACCCAAAGACAAAACACGGCAGCTGCCTTCAGAAGCCGTTCTAAAGCAGTTTAGAACAGGCATGGGAGAACCTTCAGTTCTCCAGATGTTGCTGGATTCCAGCAACCATCATCCGTGATCATTGGATGGGCTGATGGGCGTTGGAGTGCAGCAGCATCTAGAAAGTCAAAGGTTCCCCTAGATGAACCTTGAGTCCACTCACTTAGCCCCCTCATCTCCTCCAGCGCAGTTGGCAAGGAGGAATTCAGGCGTTTCCACCTTCTGGTTTAAATTAACTGCAATTTGTTGTTTGTTCCAAACTGACACTGTCGCCTGCTTCAAACTAACTGAGCTTAACCACAGTTATGATTACTGTGTCAGAGGCGAGATTCAAACTGATGAACAGCTCAGGACTCTTAGCCAGTGTGCTGCACTCACCAGGCAAAGGGAGGAAGTGGGCCATGTTCCCAACCAAAACAAAGTTCCAGATAGCAAAAGGAAGGCCAGCACAATTACTTCCACCCATGAAATCTCAAATCAGGGCAGGTGGGATTGCAGGGTGAACTGTGTGGGTCAACAACTGTGTTCACTCAGGACCATCTTTCCGAATCCTGCCAAGGCCACACACAGCTCCTGTAACCCCAGGGGTTGCCCCTCCAGCCTTTTAATCGAGAGCAATTGTAAGTATTGTGTGTGTTTGCATTGGAATTCATTGTGTCTTGGCTCATCCCCTTACTTGGCGTGCTTGATGGCTCCATCCAAGGTGCTGAAGAGGGCTCCACATTCTTCCACCACACAGTGGAAATGCACTTTATGAAGAAAGTCACACTGAGCATCGCAGAAGTCCTTGGTACCAAATCTGTCAAAATGAGACACATATACCTTATTCTGAGCCAGACCGCTGGTCCATCCACCTCAGTGCTGTCTGTAATGCCAAGGTTGCAGGTTTGATCCCCGTAAGGGACAGCTGCATATTACTACATTGCAGGTGGTTGGACTAGATGATCCTCAGGGTCCCTTCCAACTCTCTTGATTCTATGACCCTCCAGAGCTTCAATCAGGTGCCTTTTCCAACCCTAGCTGGAGATGGTGGGGACTGAACCAGCAAAAGCTGGTGGCCTCTTTGATGCTTTCCCACATATTGGGAGCAAGGCATACCTGCCAAAAAGGGCTCTTCCACAGCTACCAGTTACGTTTGCTTAGCTAGACTTCTCAGTCGGCTTTGAACCAGGGAGACAAGGACACGAGCTTACACACGCCTAAACATAATGGCTTGGCTGATCAAACAGATAAAGCACGACAAAAGGGGGGAAATTCACCAGAGCAGGAGGAAATCAGGATATCATTCCATAGGAATGTCAATGTTTTAATTAACTGTTTGGCTTTGAATCGGTTGAATTTAAATACATTTACATATTGAAAATAACACTGATGAAGGTGTCCTTTTTTAGGGCAGGGGGAGATCCTGAAAGAAGGAAACTGTTTCTTTTACTCATGAGATAACTGAAATGTAGTCAGGGGACACTGGCACTTTGAAAAGAAAGGCCACTTCTAATACACTCTTCTCTATCACATTTGGAAAGGTGGAGTCTTTGACTGCTTTGAACCAATTTCAAGAAAAGAAGGGTTGAAGTGTTCCAAACATTATTGGTAACACACCACACCAAAATGGCTTAAAATAGTTCAAGGACCGTTACTGTTGTACAAGGCAAAGATTTTCTTTTCTTTAAATTGACATTTTCAGTAGAGCAACATTAGTGTTTGATGCTATGGTCCTTTTTATATCTGAATGAAAGCTCTTGCTAGTTTATCCAGTATTAACAGATAGCTAGATAGTTTGCCTTTCAGGATGAAAGACATCTGTAAATGTCTTTATCAAATCTGGCACTGTCTGAAGAGAGCAGACGTGTTGATGGTTTGAAAACCTGGGGAGGGGGAGCTTCAACGGCCCCCCCTGCCAGCCCCCACAAGTACTGATTTTTCTAAGAATTGTTTTGGGGGGTGTTCATTAATGCAGCATATCTCTACAGAAAAGATATTCAACACCTAGAAGATCAAAGGAATGCTGAGAACCGCTTTGGGATTCTAGAAGAGTGCAACCTCTCTCTGGACAAGCTGGATTACTTTTCAGAAAAACATAGTTATAAACTGAGTGGAAGGAGGGAGGCAATGAATCCGTCTCCTAAGTAAAGGCATTTTGATAGCGTCTCTCATATGTTCTCAAACTGGCTGGGGTGCAAGTAACAGCTTCTGGGGCACAAACAGGCTGAAGGATCATAAACAAAGGAGAATGACAAATGACTGCCGCTAAGGTTTTTTTGGGTGTGTGTGCGTGCGTGCAATGAGTCCTGCCGGGAAAGAGACCGGCTTGGTCTGAATTTATTTAATGTCTTGATTAGTAATCTGGGAAAAGGGAGTAAACAGCCAAGTTAATGAAATTTACAAATTATGCTAGTCTGGGAGGAGCTGGGAGCCCCAGAACGAGGGCAGAGAAATCATCAGGGGAATGGAGCCTGCAGAAAGAATCGGGGCAACAACACTGATTCAGGGGAGAGAGACCTGCTAAGGAGTGAAGTGCATAGAGCACACAGTAGGACCCAGGCTCAATTCATAGCGCTGGTTTTGATTGCTAAGTCCATAAACTAGGGATGAAGAATATGCATCGCTCCAGATGTAGTTGGACTCCAACTCCCTCATCCCTGACCATTGGCCATGCTGGATGGTGGGAGCTGCAGCCCTAACAAAAGTTGGAAGGGCCACAGATGCCCCATCATCCCTGTTTTCATCAGTCTTAATAAAAGCCAGAGCAGCTACTCATGCAGAGACACTGCAGGGAGCTTTCTTTCCGGATGGGGCTCCCAGCTCCCATGAGCCTAGCATGCAGGGATGCAAAATCTGGGGCCCTCCCAATGTTGTCAGACTCTTAATTCCCATCATTCTTGACCACCAGCTATGCTGACTCTGGCTGATGGGAGTTGGAGTCTAACAACATGGGGAGGGTTGCAGGCTCGCCATAAATTGCCCTCCTCCCCCATTTCTGGGCATCAGGAGGGCTGCCTGCTCCCATCTGAACCTAGCTCTCAACTGAGATTGTATGCTGACATCCTTCACTGGGCGCCACACCTTAATAAATCAGGCCACAGCTAAAAAGGCCTCTTCAGTGGTGGCTCCTTCATTGCACAGTTCCCTCCACAGATATACTAACTTGGCGCCTTCCTTACTCTCTTGAAGACACCAGGAAAAGCCTGTTCTATTTTACGCTTTAATAGCAATTCATTTTATCTGTTTCAACTCCTCTTTCAGATATATTGGTTTTTCCCTAGTTTTTATGTAGTGCCTTACTTTTTTAAAGCAAGATCCCGCAGAAATCGCCTGAACCATTATATTCCAGCTCGATCATTGGTGAGGCTCCTTTTTAATGTCTTTTCACTTTTCTTAAACTTTTTATGATTTTATTGCTTGGTTTTTTGTTTTCATGTTCATTGTAAACAGCTGTGATACATTTTTATGGTACAGCGGCATATAAACTTTTTTTTAAATGAATGAATGAATGAATGATACCGCTTCTGGCTGTATTTGTGAGCCACTTGATTGTTAAATATGGTAAAATAAAATGTAAATGATTACAGCCTTGGAACTCATGATAATTTAGATTTATGGTGGCTGTGACATTGTGCAACCTGTGCTGCTCAAGCATCTAAATGCAACAGAGACAGGGCTGAGGTGGTGACAGCCATCTTGAACTGCTGCAGGAACACATGCAGCCTTATGTAATTATTTTGACAATTTATATACCGCTTCACTACAACCATCTCCAAATGTCTGCTGAAATAAGAAGGTCTTTATTAGGCTCTGTACGTGCAACAGGGAGCAGAGATGCCCAGCCTCAGCGGGGAGTGCCACAAAATTCCCGAACGGTTTTTAAGTGGGTAATGTTGGTATCATACCAATCCCCTTTACACCACCTAACCTGGCTCAGAACCTGCCCTCACCTGCGCAGGTACATCTTCCAGGGCTCAGAGAGTTTCTCCTGGACAAGAGCCTTCACTGTCTTGCCCAGGTATTGCGTGGCATCACCTGAAGCTCCCAGAGGGCTGCCATCAGCCTCCACCTTCAAGCCAAGAAGGTTGCCGAGGTTGGGGTTGGTCTGAGACATCTGCGGGGAGAAAGAAGGTGCAGTATGTTAGGAGATAAATCCTGAGTTCGTCTGAGATTATCCCACAAATAAGTTGTGGTTTGTCCTAAAAAGTAACAGAAAACAACAGGCTTGGGGAGTGGAGTCAAGTGGAGCAAAGGAAGCCCAGGTCCAAATCCTATGACAACTGTGTACTTGCTAGGGAAACCTTCCACAATGAGACATTTTGGAGTACAACTTCCATCAGCCTCAGCTAGCACAAACACACGGGCCACTAGGTTGGGGAAGGAGACCCCTGGCAGTTGTTAAGTAGGTCCCTGCCTCTCTATACCGGGTCCCAGAGCAGTGATGCTCCTTGTTTTAAGGTCTAATAATGAATGGTTCCCTCACTACAAAAGGGAATTCTTCTCCTTGGTTGTCAGTTATTTGGGAAGCAGTATTAAGCTGCTGGGAGAAATCTGAAGAGGGCTCAAGATCAGATTCTGGAGCCCACTTCTGCAGAATGAGTTCCTGGTGCTCTCTGGGGCTACAGTCAGGTTTTATCTACAGTCAGTAAACAAAACAAAACCGCTTTGAGTGCTTTTTGGTGTGTGTGTTTGTATAACGGTATATACAGTTTATGAAAGAAAGAAAAAACTCGCCAAATTCTGCGAGTTTCCTTCTTTAAAGAACAAAAAAAACCCCTCCTCTAACAATCCAAATCAGCAGGTGCTTTGACAGATTTAAAGAAGAGCTGAAAATACACAGTGGCACAGTCCAGCTCGATAATGTGCTAAAAGAACAACTGAAATCCTGATGAGAGAAGGAAATAAAAAGCTTTCTGGGATGGATGGACAAGGGAAGGCAGAGAGGCAGAGAGAGAGAGAGAGAGAGAGAGAGAGAGAGAGAGAGAGAGAGAGAGAACATCAGACAAAGTCACATTGTCCTTTCTGGGGGGTTCTGTGCCCTGGCTGGATCTCACGCTCAGAGCTCAGGGGAAGAAAACAGGGATGCCTCGAAAACTCATCACGCAACAGGACACCAAAGGCTGGCTTTGAGGATACCCAGACTGCAGATGCAGCTGGCTACGGGGGGCACAATTAATCTAGCCAAAGTAGCATTTATCATGTAAAAGGGTGAAAAAATATATCTGTTGGGTGCATAATTATTCTCCCCTGCCCCAACTTAACAAAAGAATTATGCACTTAAAAAAAATAAATATTCCAGAGCAGTGGCATTCAAGGGTGCTGGAAGCATGGAATCAAAGATTCTGGCTCAAAACTTCAGGTATATCCTGTCCTCCCACACGCTTGCCCTCCTTCCTACGCTCAGAAAAACAACCACCTGCCTCCACCCTCAGAAAACTTTTATGGTAAATAAATAGAATTAATAACAGGAAACAAAAGAGGAATTGTCTGGTTTGGAAATTAAAAAACAAACCCCTTTGAGAGGCCTCCCGTTTCCAAAGGGATAGGAGGGGGGGGGAGAGAGAAGAAGATGTCAGAGGCTGCGATATATTTCTTCAGCCAGTTCATTAAATTAATTCGTAAGCAGTGGCTCTGAAATTATACCCGATGAAAAATGGTCTCAAAATTTAAATGGTACAAACTCATCTTATTAGAGGCAAAACATTAAAAAACAAACGCGTCTCCCCCTCCCTCCCCACCTCGCCACCGTGGCTTTAATTTCTCTTGGTGGGGGGAATGAAAGGCCCTTGATGGATGGCTCTTACCTTATTCATAAGCGAGGATAAAAGAGATGAATTTGCCGAGACTGTGTGGCCATTTGATTCATTACTGGAACACACAAACCAACAGGGTTTAGTTAAGATGTGCATTGGTGAGGGCGGGGGGAATGACGACGACTGCAATTAATTCTCCTTTCAAACTGGGGTCCCCATCCTCACATTCTACCTGCTGGAGAAGGACGGACGAGGTGGGAGCCACTCTCTCCAGCCAGCCAGGGTCAAGCTCACTGGCCTAACCAGTCCAGCACCTGAAGACTTGGCTGAGATGTAAGCGGGAGAGTGACAGTTCTTACGTCCAACTGTCAAGTTGTTGTCCTGCTCTTCACCGCTCAACCCCGTCCTGGTTCTGAGTTATAACAGCACTCCAAGGAAATGAATGAAGGGTGTCTGGATGCCAACTAGGCCAACCTGCCACCTTCCAAGTGTTTTGGGTGACAACTCCCATCAGCCCCTCCAGTTGGCACAGCTGATCGGAGCTGTGGTCCAAAGCACAAGAGAGGGCACCAGGTTGGCAAACAGTGCCTTAAAGAAAGCTCATGGGAGCAGAGGGAGCTGGTTGCCCTGCACAATACAACCCAGGTAAAACTGATGGATTCACTCACACAGCTAAAAAGGGTGAGGTGGAGTTTAAGGGTACGTGAGCCAGGCTGGGGGCCACTGAAAAGCTGAACAAATGGGACTGTTGCACAGACTGCCGTCTCTGATGACCTTCTTCCCAGCAGCAGGCCTGGCCACATTTATCTTAACCGCTTTAGTCAGACTGAGTGAGAGGCTTCCGATGATGCCCTCTTCCCCACCCACGCTCAATGCAGCAAGCTTTTAGGACATTGCCATGTTCCTCTTCCCCATCACCCAAATCTGTCGCTGCAGAGCCTCCCTCTCTTACCCATGATCCTTCACACTCAGGTCCAAGCTGTGCTCCTGCAAGGAATCCTGGGTCACGGTGGACACGGAGCCTGGATTCTCTGTAGCCTCTTGCTTAATCTGAGCTGGGTTAAACCGTCCAGGAGTGGTTGGTTGTCCATTCCCTGTGTTTTAGAGAGAAGGAAGGAGAGGAGGGAGGGAGGCAGGGAGGGAGGGAGTGGGGAGGAAAACCCATAAAGTGTTAAATAAGTAAATAAAGGAAGCCAACTGACAATAACGATCAAACAATATCAAATAATGCACAAGAAAGTTAAAAAACCCCAACAACGGCAACAGTAAGGTTGGAGAGAAAAGGAATGGCCTGAGTCTGCTGGTCAGCATTTATTGCCGGGTTGACGTGATCGGTTCTGACGTCCACCCCGGCGCGGAAATTCTTCCAAGTGATAATTATTGCAAAATTATGTCAAAGTTGTCCAGGCTACGGGCCCTTTAAAGGAGGAGGGCGGCAGGAGCGAGGGGGAGATCTGATGCTCTGCGCAAACTGTCATAACTAATTTGCGGGGCTGCCTCTTAAGCGTTTATTAAAGACTCTGTTAATGCTGAGGCAATGTGGCAGCTTGAGACTGCTAGTCAAGCCCCCTTCCCATTCCCCAATCTCAACGTTGCCTTGGCGACCGCGCTCCGGCCTCCTCACTGAGCATGCCCAAAAGGAACGTCTGCGGTGTCAGGTCTATCGAAACTGACAGCCAATCAGATTGGTTCAAACTGCGCGACCTCTTCCGCCATCTTGCCTTGTCCCAGCCAGAGAGTGCCACCGCCTGGCCTTTGGGTCTCTACTCCTTGCCCCAAACTACGTTGGAAAAATTAATTTATAAAAAATATATATAATGAAGTTGCCTCAAAAGAAGAAGAAAAAAGTAAGGGCAAACGTCCCATAAAGTTACGAAAACACATTAAATAAATAAAAAAAGAATGAGGCAGACGCAGAGAAAAGGATTAAAAGATGGCAGGGGGGGAAATTGCTGACAGGAAGATGTCCGCCGGGCTTTCATCCACAATCCCCAAGTGACTAAAATATTAATCTACCCGGAGGCACTACAGCTGACGGTGAACTGCTTCACAGACAGCAAGTGGCATTTTATTTTTTAAAAAGAGGAAAAATAGTTCCCGCAATGACCTCTCTCTTTCAGGAAAAATAAATGATTAAAAAAAAAAAAGGTTTCTGACAACTTTCTGCACAGCACTGGCCTTTTGGTGCCCGAGAAGGACAAAACGGCATCTCCTGCCTCCCCAGCTGACAAGTTGAATCTGACTTCAACAATGATGACAGAACAGCGTCTTTCACCACACCTGAGAGTGGCAGGCCAGCTTAAGGGGGCAGAACAGGCCATGTGGCACATATAGCTCTGTCTTTCATCACCTTGCTTTGTGCTCTCCCTCCCCACTCCTGCCTCCCAGGCATGTGCTGCCCGAGGCAGCTGCCTCCTCCTGCCCAATGGGAGGACTGGCCCTCCTTTTGCAGGCCTCTACCTAACCTTTCTATCTGGCCCAACATTTTGTCCTCACAGTCGCCCACCAGGTGTTCCAATGGGAAACCCGAAAGCAAAGCCAGAGTGCATATTTCAAATACAGATGGAGTGTGAATAGAAACTCATCTCCTGCTGGAAAAACCTTTCCCATTTCTGCCTGTCTCTGTCTCTCTCCACTCTCTGGAAAGAAGTCATCTTGATGAAGAATGCAACAGCAATCTAACTTTCAGTATGACCAGGAAAGTCTGATTCCCTCCATTTGGGCTCCTGCACATTTGCAGCAGGCTTAAAAACAGGCCCGTGATACCCAAGCTTCCACGGCTACAGCTGCAACAGGCCAGCTATGCATCTTTGGCTAGCACTGCGAAAGGCTCCATTAGTCACAGTAAAAGCCCCTAATCTGGCTGTGAAGTGATTGGGCTGCTGCTCCTGCTTCTCAAGGAGTCCCGAGATGGCTGAAGGAGAGCTGCTTGCTCCTTCAGATCCAGGAAGTCAAAGCATCCGAGGCAGCTGCCGTTCCAAAGAGGGATCAATGGGAAACTAATCTGGGTAAACATCTCCTCTCCTCCCCACTACCCCAGAGAAGGATGGCAGCAGAGGACAGAGGAAACTGTTGGCTGAAATAGATGCTTACAAGGAGCTGGCAACAATCCAGGGTTCATGCTGATGTGCGGGAATAGAAGGGGCCCAAGCCAAAGAGTCAGCTGGGACAGTTTGGGCAAGTCACTGTCTTGCCCAGAAAAGATATAACCCTCCCTGTTTGCCTCCAAAACCTCCCTGACAAGTCACAATGTGCTTCTCCCAAAGACCTAGAACAGGTCAGCCATGATGGTGCAGTCAGCTCAGATTGGCATTCCACCATCAAAGAATGACTGCGTCTCCACCCATTTATTTTGCAAATAGGCTTTGTGTTATTGCTGTATCTCTCCCCTGTCACAGGTCCTTAATGAACCACTAAAAAGGTGGAACTCTGCAGCTGGGCTTTGAGGCTGGGACAGCAGCAGATTGGGAAAGTCACTTTGTGTGTTTCAAAACCAAACCTGCTTTCTATCTGGGCAGCTGATCTGGAAATCAGGTAACAGAACAAAAAGTTATCTCCCTCCCTGTTCCCTTGAACCAAGGTTCAAAACAGGTTCTGGGCCCCCTTCCACAAGCACATCTCAAGAAGAAGCCTCAAACTATATTTGTGTTTAAGTGTCTGGGACTGGCAGAACGCTGACGAGTGTGCATTGGGGGAAGGGGGCTGGAGTCTGACTCGAGAGAGGGGGCAGTGCTCTGTGGGGACCTGTACCAGCCAGGAAGCAAGAATCAGGGGCAGGGGAAGCTTCAGAGAGGGAAAAAGAGACAGGCCAGGCAAGTGAAGGACCAGGTGCTTCTCCACTCTCCCCTGGACAACTGGCTTCCAGAACTAGGAGGGGATTGAAGAGGGATGATCAGAGGCAGCTTCCATGCAGACATAGTCTCTAGCTGCATGTGTGCAGCCCATCGGAGGAAGGTACATAAACTAGTGGAGGGAGAGTGGTCCCCAGTTGCTGCAACTGTTCCATAGTGCACGGACCTGGGAATAGCTGCATAGATGCTAGGTCTCCTGAGCTGTAGAAGCGGGTGTGTTATCTTTGACAATAAAAAGGCTTCCCACCTTTCTCCAGTGTGATGGAGCAACCTGAGTCCCTTCTTTCCCCATGTGTGTGAGATTTCCAAATCCTGACTGGACAAATAACCCCCCTCATTCAACCAGGAGGGCCAACAAACTCACCTGCCTCCACAGCCACCGAGGGCTTAAGTGCTGCAGCAGCCAGCCTGGCCATCATTGGCGAAATCAGGCCTTTGCTGGCGGAGATCCTCTCCATGATGGATGCTGCCGGAGTTGGGGAAGAGGTGGCCGCTGCCTCGCTGGAACCTGAGATGGCCTGGGAAGGGGAGCTGGCAGACGGCGCTGGGTTGGTGCTGGAAGCACTGGCGGCTATCAAGCTGGCGGAGCCGGCGGGCAGCGGGGTGGCGACCCGGCTGGGGAGGATAGGGAAGTAAGAGCCCGCCGTTCCAGGAAGTGCTGCGTTGGAGAGTGCCAGGGCCAAAGGGATATTGCTCGGGAGGGCTTGGGAGAGTAGGCCGGGGATCTTGGAAGCCGTCGGCATGTTGTTGGGTTTGCTGGAGGCCTGCGAGGCCGAGAGCTCTGCCGCCGAGGAGGGTGCTCCCGGGACGATCAGGGAGACGGAAGACTGCTGACTGGTGGGGGAGGCACTCAGGCTGGAGTTCTTAGAGCTCATGGCGGAGAAGTCAATGAGGTCGTCGTTGCTGGACTCCTCCTGCTCGTTGTCCTTGGCCCCCAGGAGGGAGGCGGGCAGGCCCAGCACGCCCGAGCTGCGGATGTGGCGGCGCTCGTGCTTGCGCTTGTGGGAGGTCATCTGGCTGGTGGAGGTGAAGGTGAAGCCGCAGCCGGGCCGGATGCAGTGGAAGTGGTTGGTGGCCTTGCTGTAGACGCAGCCTTCGTACTTGCACTCCTCGTACTTGTAGAACTTCTTGAAGCCGTCCTTGGCATAGGCGTCGTCCTTGATGTGGTAGCTCTTGTGCTTCTCAATGTCGCACTTGTTCTTGAAGGTGAAAGTGCAACCAGGACGCCTGTGAGGTGCGACAGGGGGAGCGGAGGATCAGGCATAGAACAGGGCAGGCATTCCTATATCTGAGCAGAAGTACTAAGTAGAAGAGTTTGATCTCCGCCCGCTACCCCAGATCTTGGCTTCATTTTGGAAACCACTGTGCCAAACTATGCAGATAGCAACCAGGGTTAAGGAGCAAAGCTCACCATTGCTCTCACAGGAACATGGGAAGATGAATCAGACCAGTGAAGATCAGTACTGAATCAGACCAGTGAGATCAGTACTGTCAGCGCAGAGAGGTGGCGGCACTCCAGGGTTTCAGACGGCAGACATTCCCAGCCCTACCTGGTGATGCTTCTGGGGATTGGAACCAGGTCTTTCTGCATGCAAAGCAGATGCTCTGCCATGGAGCTACCCTTCAGGTTCAAGTAATATTCCTCAAATACAAGGAGGTCTGAACTAAGCCCTGGTATAAGAGAGATTCCTGATTTGTAAATGGATCCACCTCCCCGCCACCATCTTTTCTTTCTTGGCTTTTCCTTTGTTCTCTACTTTCTAGTATATGATTTGTGTTTTTTTACATGAATTAATATTTTTTTTTGCAAAATGTTCCTGTCTCTGGTACTTTATGCCTAGATTTATTTATTTTTTAAATTTCAGAGTCCCGGCAAAAACCTCAGAGAAATCCACACGTACATTTCTGTCACTTGGGGACAGGAGAATGAAATGGTTAGGTTGTAGCCAATGCTAGTCCTACTCAGAGTAGACCCACTGAAGTTAATGGACAGGACCAACTGAGCTCTATTGATTTCAGTGGGTCTTCTCTGGGCAGGACTTAGCTGGAGACAACCCACAAGCTTTTGTTTGAGCTGCAATAGCTAGGAATATTCATATTACTCCATGGGTCATCCTCAAGTGGTGTACATCAGGAATGAAGAACCAGTGGCCCTCCAGATGCTGTTGGACTCCAACTCAATTCAGTTCAGTTGTTGTTAGACTCTGGGCTCAATTCAAAGTGTTGGTTTTGACCTATAAAGCCATATGCGGCTCAGGACCCAAGTACCTCAACAACTGCTTCTCTCCACATGAACTGACTTGGACCCTGTAACTGTCATCTAAGGCTCTTCTCTGTGTGTCCTCACTGAGGAAGGTCTAGAGAAGTGGCAACATGAGAATGGTCCTTTTCAGTGGTGACTCCCCACTTGTGGAATGCTTTTTGCAGGGAAGCTCGCCTAGCACCTTCTTCATCTAATTTATGCACCAGGCGGAAACTTTCCTCTTTACCCAAGCTTTTGGCCCTCAACTTGAAAGGTTTCAAGTAGTTGTGGCCTCTTTTAATGGGGCAGGATCTGTAAGACCTGTCTTTTTTTGGACAAGCATGTCCTTTAGGATTTTCTTGGTTGTGTTTGTTGTAAACAAGAGCTGCCATCACCGTTGGTCAGCATGACCAACTGTCAGGGATGATGGCAACTGTAGCTCAACATGTAGCCCTGAAGGGCACCAGGCTAGAGCAGAGTGATGCCCCCGGGGTAACCTGAACTCTTTCCCCCTTTTGCAGAGAGCCCACCTGCAATGGAAGTGAGTGGTCTTCTGCCCGTAGAACTGGCAGTCCACCGTGCCACAGTCCTCCGTGGCCCGAAACCGCTGGAATCCATCATTGATGAGCTGGGTGTTCTTCTTGTGGAAGTTCTCATGGGTCATTACGTCGGAAGTGCTGGTATAGACTTTGTTACAGCCCACCTGGTGCAAAGGAACAATCAGGAGGCGGGGTGAAGGTTGGGTAAATGAAAGAAAGAGTGACATATAAGCTCACCTGAGAGACGTTGCTGGGGAGAGAGCAGAGAGTTTATAAAGGACAGGAGCATCTCCACCTGGGAGAAATACCATGACTTCTGAAAATTTCCTGCCTGGCAGCAGAGCAAAATATTCGTTCTAGCTACACTTACTTAGGGCATGGGGGTGACAGAGAGTAGGACATGGGAAGCTGCCTTATATTGTGCCAGGCTATTTACCAGCCTAGGCCAGTATTGCCTACTCTGACTGGCAGCAGCTCTCCAGGGTCTCAGGCAGAGTGAGGTCTTCCGGATCACCTGCAATCTTTTTAACTGGAGATGACTTGGGTGGAACCTGGGGCCTTCTTCCTACAAAGGACGTGCTCTAGCTACAAGGCCCCTCTCCCAAAATAGCAAGTGGGGAAGAGGAGGAAACAGTCCTAAAATTATGGCCTATCCCACTTAAGGTAGAGAAGTTGGAAGGTCAGGCTGGCAGCTGCTGGATCAACCTGGTCAGCTTCCAGCAAGTGGGTCTGCTTCCACAGTCCAAGGTGACGTAACAGCAATATGTAACAGAGACAGGCACATGTGATAGTTGTGCAGGAGGCAGTATGCCTCTAAATCCCAGCTGCTGGAAATTACAAGAGTTGTTGCTGCACTCAAGCGCTGCCTGTGGCCTTCCCCTTGGGGCGTCTGGTTAGCCACGGTGAGAATGGCCAGTGAATGACCAGCGCAGGAGACTTGGCTACCCTATCACGTTGGCCACGGGGAACGAACACCCTTTGTCATCTGCTTTGCTATAAACTCACAGGCGTGATGTGTGTGTGTTGGGAATGGAATGCTGAAACCCTACCTCCTCCCTCAGCTGTTCCTGAGCAAAGTGAGCTAATTTGCCATATTGAGTAAAATTCCAGTGGAATCTGACAATGCCACTGTGCCCGCCAAGAGCGCTTTCGCCCTCCCCACCACCTTCTGTGTGTCATGTGCCAACGCCTGCACCATCTCAGAAATGAAGCAAATCAAAACACCCTTCCTGTCTCCCCCCCCCCACCAGCCCCATACTCCTGGTTCGGTTCAGCTTGGGTTGATTCAAAGAGGCAATAACAAAACATCTGGAAAACACCCAGGGGGGAAAAAGTAGGGGGCGGAGGGGAGAGAGAGAGAGAGAGAGAGAGAGAGAGAGAGAGAGAGAGAGATCCGAAGCGATTCCCGATAGAACATGGGCTTCTTTACACAGTGACACCTTGAAAGAAGACAGACCCGGCCGTGGTGTTAAAAGGCAAAATTAAACAAAAAACTCCTCATGAATAATTTGCAATGGGGCTCTTTGTGCTAAAGCATGAAAAATGTCCATTGGTATAAACAACTAACTGAATTTTGTCCATGCCAATTATGGACATAAAGGTGGGGGGGGGAGGGAGGAGAGGGCCAGGCGCAAATACTGCTGTTTAAGAGATATTTGCTCGAATTGGGAACTCGTCCTGTTCCAAGGCCTTTTCTTCTTAACATGGGCATTGGCTTCGGGCAACCCTTTCTACCCATTCCCACAGAACTCATTCTGCACAAATGGTTCTGCTGCGGGGCAGCGGATCCCATTGTAGGACTGTGCTCTCTGCTCACATGGGCTAGGCCTACCTTTGCCAGCTTAGTTTCCTCCCAGAAATTGCTGGACTCCCAACTCCCATCAGCCCAAACCAGGCAGGCAGGAGTCATGGATGATGGGAATTGGGGAGTCCAGAAACATTTCGGTGTTATCCTGGGCTGGGGAAGACAAAGCCAGGCCACCCTTTGCAGGGTAAGAGGACAGCGCAGAACAAACTCAACACCCTCCTGTGGCCCTCCAGGTCAGTGCTGATCCTTCTCCCTGAGAGGACCTCATGAGCTTCCACAGAAACCCATAAGAAGGGCCTCCTGGATCAGGCCAATGGCCCATCTAGTCCAGAATCCTGTTCTCACAGTGGTGAACCAGATGTCTGTGGGAAACCTGCAAGCAGGACTGGAACACCAGAGCCCTCTCCCCCCCTGTGGAGCAACTGATATTCAGAAGCACACCGCCTCCAATTGTGGAGGCAGAGAATAGCCATCGTGGCTGGCTGGTAGCTGTTGATGGGCTCCTCCTGAGAACCCATGTGCTTGGTAGAAATGAGAGTACACCCAAGTGCTAAATCCCCCTTGCACAGGTAGGCTTAAAGTCTTTTAGGGTGATGGAGGGATCTCTCCATACCATGGCTCCCCTCCTGACAGCCTGATTTCCATGGCTGCAAGAGAGCCTGAAGAACAACAGGCCAGCTCCTATTGTTGTTGGCCTAAAGCGCCCATCATCTCCCTGACCACTGGGCATGCTGGCTGGGGCTGATGGGAGCCCAACACCACCTGGAGGCCACAGCTTCCCCACCCTTGACATACGGCTTCTGGAGATGGTGTGGTTGCAAAATGGCTGGCTTTGGAAACCCCCCTCACAGCGACAGGCTGCGCCATAATTCTCGCAAACCTCTTTTTTCCCTGGCAGTGAGAGAGCCAGCTTCCTTTCTTCCCTTCTTTCTTTTGACACTGGGCTGTTATTAATATTTGATTGGCTTAGCAGCTGGCTACAAAGGGACAAACGCGATTGCTAAAGGGCAGGCCTTGCGCAGAGAGGTTGTATATCAACAGAGGAATGCGGCAGTTCTGATGGTCTCTCTGGCTTGAGGAAGGAGCACCCCGGAGAGAGACCCCCAGAGCTTGACCCTTCCATCACTCCTACAAAGGATCTGCCCGGATGTGTGTAAGGGGGAAATATCAGCTCTCCACTCCAAACTCTGGCCTTTCCCCCACGCCCAGGAAATGTGCCTGTCCTGGGTACACAGCAGAGCTGTTTATGACTCTTCTTGTCAAAATTTGAGCAGGAATGGACGGAATCAAGCAATGTTTCCCATTGTTGCCTATGGCACTCATCTGAATAAAAAGCTCTTTAGAAAAATGCTCCTTTTACTCATCTTTGGGTTGACTCTGATAGGTGAGCCTAGACAGAGAGATTTCTGCCCAAAATCAACCTCCTGGTGAAACAGGGATCTCTCAGAAATCTGTGCCTATAAACGGGGTTTCTCGGTCCACCTTCTGCAACATGTGGCCATACAGATATTCTTTATTGATTAATACCCCACCATTTCCCCGAAAGGAGCCCAGGGTAACAAACGTATCTGTAGCATTATTTAAAAACCAGCAATCAAAAGCATTCCAAAAACTATTAAAATCAATCACATCGTTTTGGCCACTGTGGCTTGCCAGAGATAGAAGGCCGTGGCTAACAAGGTGCTACTCAAGAGTAGACCCACTGAAATTAGTGGACACATGTTAGTCAAGTCATTAATTCCAATGTATCTAGTCTGGGAAGGACAAGCATTGGACACTACCCAATCTCTTTCAGACATCAAATGTGTGGGTAAACAATGACATCTGGGGCACTATGGTTGGGGAAATCTCTTCTAGATCTCCTGATCCCATGAACTGGCAAGGCAAGCTGAGAGGCCTTCCCGAAGCAGCTATGGGAGGATCTAGTAGTATCTTTAAAGATAAGAATTCCATTATGAATCCTCATAGCAACATGTTTGCTACCTGGTGGAAGATGACTTCTGCACAAGGAATCATAGGAAGTGGCCTTCCACTGAGCCAGACCATTTGTCCATCTAGCTCAGTACTGTCTACACTGGCTGGCAGTGGCTCTCCATGGTCTCATCAGCCCTACCAAGGGAGGCTAAGCATTGATCCTTGGATGATACAGGTGCTCTACCCCTGAGCTACAGGCCCCCCCTCCCAAGGAATCTCTGGACCACATGCCCCACTCCCAGCCTAGCTCTAACCTGGAAATGCATGCCACGCGTGAGGGATGGTGGCTCTGTTAAAACATCCATGCAGATACTAGCCCTGGGGGTCCCTTCGCTCTCTGTGTCACTTGAAGGCAGAAGCCCAGCATCGTTACCTGCATGCAGTGGTAGTGTGTGCTTTTCCCATTCAGGTGGCAGCCGTGATAGTAAACACTGCAGTCGTCGAGCGGGCTGAAGCGCATGAAGCCGTGCTGGAGGGAATTGTCCCGCTTCTTGTGCATGTTGTAATGCCGGATCACATCTTGCTTGCTTGTGAATCTCTGGGGGGCAAGAGGAAGACGCAGAAGAGGTGAGGCAGGGCTGGGAGCAGGGAGGTAGGGGCAGATCTTTGTCAATTTCAGTTTCTCTTTTTTCTTCTTCAGTGTCCATAGTTTGAGTTGCCCAATTTCCATGAGAGTTTATTGATTTATTGGGCTGTACCCAACTAAGTGGGACGCGGGTGGTGCTGTGGTCTAAACCACAGAGCCTAGGGCTTGCCGATCAGAAGGTCGGCGGTTCAAAAGCACATCAAAGTGCAAGTAGATAAATAGGTACCACTCCAGCGGGAAGGTAAACGGCGTTTCCGTGCGCTGTTCTGGTTCGCCAGAAGCAGCTTAGTCATGCTGGCCACATGGCCCCGAAGCTGTCTGCGGACAAACTCCGGCTCCCTCGGCCAGTAAAGCAAGATGAGCACCGCAACCCCAGAGTCGTCTGCGACTAGACTTAACGGTCAGGGGTCCCTTTACCTTTTTACCCAACTAAGTTAGACCCAACCCATAGAAATCAATGGTCCCAAGTCAGTTTTATATCCTTTAATTCCAATGAGTATATTCTGAGCAGGACTGAGACTGGGTACAACCCAATATAAGCTTTTTTTGTAAGCAAAATCTGGAGAAATGCAGCGTTTGAAGGATAGCTGTCTTTCCATTCACACCTTGGTTTGGGAAGTGTGGAAGAGGCAGTCCCACATTAAACTGTGAAAGCTAAGTACTACTTGAGGCGGTGGGGCAACATGAGTTGGGGGAGGGCCTTGAAGGAAGAATCCCTTTCATACGGGCTCAGCAACTGTGCACTCTAAAGCCATTTGTAGCTTTAACAGTGTGTTCATAAGTAATGGCAAAAGGGTGGCAATGTGTGAACACCACAAAAGAAGGTTGGATTTATAACAAACAGCATTCCAGCCAAACGAGGCTTTATTTTGAAATGGGAGAAATGGAAAATGCAAGCACCAACTGAAGTGTTGTGAATGAAACTGGCCTAGCTCAGGACATCGGAAGCTGTCTTATTATACCGAGTCAGATCGTTGGTCCATACTGACTGGCAGCAGCTCTCCAGGTTTTCAGGCAGATTGAATGAGGAACCTTCTGCATGCAAGGAGATGCCCTGCCACTGAGCTAAAATCCCTTCCTACAGCTTAGGAAAGCAGGTTTCCATTCTTAGAGACACCTGGTTGGCAATACTTCAATATGCAGACAATCCTTCCCTTTCCAAGTATCCAGCACCTTGAGACGCCTATTCCAAGCTCTGGTAGGGAGGCTACAAGCCCAGTTTAGCCTGTTGGATGGAGTAGGTTGTCTAGATGCCAAGAAAAATACCCTCTGGACACATATAGGAAAATATCTCCCCCTCCCCCAATTCCCACCCGTTTTCCTGCTATACTAAAAATAAATCCTGATCTATTTCTGTTGCTTTTATTAAATTTTGGGATTTACACAGGAACGCCAAAGAAGAGCCACGGGCTGATTTCCCCAAGGCGTTATATTACAGGAATTCCATTGCCAATCACCGTTAATTCGCGGCCAATTATTACTGAGCGCCGTTCATTATAAGAAATATATATCTCGCCTGCAGGGTAATTTGCATTTGGAAAAACTCAGCCTAAAGCTTTATTCCCTGGTGGGATCAGGCGATTCCACCCACAAGCCTGGACAGCTCCCAAGGTCTGTTGCAAGAGCCTCCCCCCCCCTTTTCTTCAAGGCCCTCTTGTTTCCTTACGGCCCATCTCATCAGACAGACGGCTCCTCTTTGGTGCAGAATGGTCACTGCCCACATCCCCGGTTCAATCAATAGAAACCCACGGGGCCCCCCAGGGCTTGGCCAGGACTGGGCCAGTTTCCCTTGCTGTGGTTGAAGTTGTTCCTCCGAGCCTGGCGGGTGCCAGGGCAGAAATCAAGATTCCGCTGCGGGCAGTTCCTGGGAATCCCTTGCACACCTCCTGCCCACCACGTGCGGAGGCTCTAACCACAGAAACAGCGGCGTCACTCGCTCAGATTCAAGTGCAGAGTAAACAAACACAGCATGTGACTGGGAAGCTGGCTTGACAATCTTGCCCTGGCACCTCTCCCAGCAATTGCAGCCTGGCTTCTGCCCCTTCCTCCCAGCATCCAGCCATCTCTTCCCGAAACTAAACCGCAATCTCAGGACCGCCGCTCGTCTCAATGGTTGCTTTGCATCAGTAGCTGCTGAGGCGTCACTTGGCCAGCTAGGCTGAGCCTGATTTGCCACCTGCCCCCGCCTGCTTGACGGTGCAGCTCCTCCAGGGGAAGCCTGTGCTTCAAATGGTGTCTGCTGGCTTAAGGTTTCTACTCGTCTTGCGCTATCACAGGAAGCTGATTGCTGCCTGCTTATAGGATGATGCCACTGGGATTGAGGTGCCCTTTAGGGAAAAAAAGGTTGTGTGTCTGCAGACCATTAGCTGATGCCAGAGGTGAAGAACCTTTAGCCCTCCAGATGTTGCTGGACTACAGCTCCCATCACCAACCCCAACCCCTGGCCACGCTGACTGGGACTGATGGGAGCTGGAGTCCAGCAACATCTGAAGGGGTGAAGGTTTCTCCCCTCTGCTGGCCTATGGGGGAGTTATATGGTGAAGACACCCCAATTTGTATGTGCGGGCACAGTGACTGGTTTTGTGAGTGCCTCTGACACGTATTTATCCTTCTAATCCTCCACGGGCAGCGGCTGTATCTAACCAGCTGGTCATCGGTAGGGTACTGTCATGTGCAGAACCTTCAAAAATGATTTGCAGGGACGCTCATGGTTGCATGAACAAATTCCAGGATTCAGTTCCTCTGGCTGAATCCTGTGATCCACCATCCAAATCTCAAAGTGTTCCTGGGGCACAGCAGGCTTTGATCTCCATGGTACAGCTATCTACTGTGCCAGGTTCCTTGTAGAAAACAAATCTGGGGTGGCTTCACAGGCTGGATACATACTGTGAATCTATAGCACATTTCAAGCACGCTCCCACTTTGTCCCAAGAATCCTTCAAACGGTACTTTACTCCACAGAGAGCGACAGTTCCCAGTGCCCGCAACCAACTACGGTTCCCAGGATTCTTTGGCATGAACGAACATGCTTCAAATGTATTGCGTGTGCACAACCACGTAGATGCTGTATTAATAATACAAGACTTGTGAAACGATCCTTGTGCCAATGGGAAAATCGCTCCTGCAGGAGGCGATGTTACAGCCAGCTATTGTGACTCAGACACATTGGCTACTGCATGGGCAATGATCATCTGCAGGGCACCAAGTTGGGGGAAGGCCAGTCTACTCTGACAGGCAGTTGGTTCCCAGGGTCTTGAGCAGAACGAGGCCTTCCCTATCACCTACTATTGAGATCTTATCGCCAGTAGATGCCAGGGACTGAACCTTCTGAATGTGTTGTGCCGCTGAGCTCTGGCCCTTCCCAAGCAGATGATCTAACTGTTGCTACCCTTTGCTGAGTCAGACCACTGGTCTATTTAGCTTGCAGCCAGTATGGCGCTCAAAAGACTCAAACAAAGCTCCTCCCCTCTCCCCAACAAACCCTTGCTGTTTCAATGCCTGGATTGAACTTTGCCCCACCGTACTATTTAAGGATCCCCCCCCCCATGATTTATTTTCATTTGGTTTTTACCTGATAGTTACACTCCGGGTCAAGGCAGTGATAATGTTCTCGGTATTGGTATGCACAGTGAATGTGTCCGCAGTGCTGGCTTCCGGAAAACCTGAATGTGAGAGAGAGAGAGAGAGAGAGAGAGAGAGAGAGAGAGAGAGAGAGAGAGAAAGAAAGAAAGAAAGAAAGAGGAAAAAGGGAAGTGTGAATATCATGAGAGCATTTTTCAAAGAAAATAAATTCAACCCCGCCCCTGCCTTCCCTGGTTAGTCAGGTGCTAATTTCAAGTTGGGTTCACACTTCTTGGAGCCTGGCATGCGGTGCTGCTATGTTATGTGTTGAGCTACCTGCATGAGTATCTGACATGAAATGGGAAGTCGTTATGTCTATATGCTCCCTCCGGGTTCACAGAACAAGGTTTACAAACCAACAGCAAACTCTGGTTTGCTACCGAGGGTGGTTTGTGTGCTGGGTTCAGATGGTCCAATTTCAGATGGTCCAGTTTGCAAAGCTTGGCTTAGCATTATGCGTGAACCAGGCCAGAATACCAGGATCGACAGCAGGAGAGAGCAACTACTCTCACGTCCTACACGCGGGCTTCCCACTAGGACATGTGACTTGCCACCATACAGAGCAGGATATGAGATTTTGTAACAGTAGATTCTGCATTTGCATGGCAAACCCACAGAAGGCACTCAGCTGTAGCCACTGTCTGGGCAAGGTGCGACGTTGCAGAAACCACAGCAAGGTTTCTATATTGGGCTGTGTGTATCCTCAGTCACTATCTGGAGGCTTGAATGGTGCAAAATTTTAAAGCTGGCTTCCTGCAGTGAACAGCTCTCTCCGCGGAAGCACTTTGCACCTACAGAATGTTTATAGGAAATGGGTAGAAGATCCACACTCATGTTAATTAAATTGCGGGACTAGCAAGCATCTCCGCTAGAACGCTAAACCCAGCCATAGCTCAGTGGTTAAAGTGCCTGCTTGGCATGCAGAAGGTCTCAGGTTAAATTGCCAAAAGCACCTCCAGGTAAGGCTGAGACTCCTGCCTCCTCTGTTCCTGCAAAGGGCCACAGCTCTTTATATGCAAAAGGTCAAAGGTGAACACAGGATGCTGGACTAAGTGGGCCACTGCCCTGATCCAGGAGGCTTTTTCTTATGTCCAATCCACAGGTAGGGATGAGACAGACTCCCTGCCTGAAACCCTGGAGAGCCTCTGCCTGTCAGTGTAGGCATTACTGAGCTAGATAGACCATTGGTACAACTCAGCAGCTTTCTGTGCTCCCCATCCCCAATGCTTTTCTGCATGTGCTATATGAAATAGGTAATTGTCGACTCTGGTTTTGAGAAGCAGAGAAAGGGGCAGCGGCAGCAGAAAGGGAAGAAACAGAACTCAGAAAATTTCATTATACACAGCGTCACGACTGTTGGGTTTATCTTACTCAGTAATGCCTACACTGAGTGGCAACAGCTCTCCAGGGTTTCAGGCAGAGTGCAACCCCAGCCTTGCCTGGGTTGAAACCTGGGACCTTCTGCTTGCAAAGCACACGCTCTGTTACTGAGCTACGACCCTTCCTCCAGAGAGCAAGAGACAGAGGCCTGACTGTCTGCTATAAGGAAACCTTGGCTGGACTACTGCAGTCCATGATATGCCGGGGAGCAAAGGCATAACAGTCAGCAACACAACAAGGGCTTGCAGAAACCAGCAACCAGGAGGGTGCATTGTACAGAGCATATTGCGGAGTAATTTGAAAGGGGACTCCGATGGGGAAACATCCAGAGCTAAACCGCCATCTGCTCTGAGGTTCCAAATGCCACACGGCACTATATTCCTTGCGAGTGCCCCTTGGGGCGGGCATCAAAGAGGAGCCATGAATTGAAGGGGAAACCGAGGCTGCGGCCCAGGGGAGGAATGGCAGGAAAGAGGAAAGAGAGAGAGAGTTAAGGACAGGCTTTTTTGAGTGGAAGATGGCAAAAAGAGAGGAGTGGCAGCAGCAGCAGGGAAGATGGCATTTGCAAAGCACACAGGAAGAGGTGGTCAATTGCAGAGGCAGAAGGCCTTGAAGAGATGGAAAGGGGGGGGGGGCGTAATTGACAGAAGAGAGGGGCATTGCTAAAAAATTTAAATCGCTTCTTTGCCACGGCGTTTGCAGAAAAGGGGACAGATGCCAGAAGCAGACATGCCTCTCCCAGGGGAGGAAAGAAGGAGAGGAGAAAGAACTGCAAGGAATCATGAATACGCCAAGGCAGGTGATTGAGAAACCTGAGCAGTGGCGGAGATGATGAACTTTAGAAAAACAAAATAGCAATTTTAGCCTTGGGAACAAAGGGTAAACCAAGTTCTTTTTTGTTCAGATTCCAAAATGGCACAAAGGATTCACGAGGGTTGCGAAACAGGCTCTTTCCCCTGCATCACCAACCATCTTCACCTGGTTTTAAATCCTATCAAGTCTCGATCCAAGCAACTCCAGGGAGCCCTCGCTCTGCCAGGGCACTGAGGATGCAAGGGAGAGGATGACTCTGCCACTGTCTACAACTACAGCCCCAGAGGGAGAAAACCCATGGAAGTTTTAAACTCAGGTTAAACCTCTGGCAGAAACACATCTTAATTGGAAAGATCTAGATTGCACTCGGGAGATGTGATGATAATAACAGCACATTCAATTTATGGTCTTCCCTCTTTCTGTTCCAAGGACACCATAGTAAGAAATATGAGGCGTGACCACAGGCACCCTTCATTACAATTGGCAGGGTGGGGGGTTAAGCACATGTTTAACACCTGCTCATTGTCATCAAAGGACTTAATAAACCCCTGTGTTTGATCTGGGCTGGATTGGGCCCCGACTCCCAGAAGGTTTCTGCTAATGGCAGTCTAAATAGTGAAGAAACAGGCATTCCAATATGCCTTATCTATTTCCTTTCCAACACTGCTAAGGGCATTAAGGGTGCTGTTTTGGCCCATCAGACCCCCACATTCCATACGAGAACTCTGTGCCCCACCAATCCACATGGGTGGCAGAGCTTTAGGAGGTATCAGTCTTGAACAAATGATCATCACTCTCATTTCTACGTCATTTCCTCAGTCCAGAAGAGGCAGCCTAAACCAGTTGTCAGAAGCAATTAAACTAAGCAATTAAACAAAAAAATTAAGCACCACTGGATCTTCCCCAGCCTCTGAGGCCCTCCTCCACCCATTGTCTCCTTGGTGGTATAAAGTGGTTACCCTTCTCTCCCTTGAAAAGAGCTGAAGGAGAAAGTTGGAAGAGTGAAACTCTTTCCCACTTCCTCTTTCTGTTGTATATGTACTTCAAGGCTCACAGAATTATAGAATTGTTAGAGTTTGAAGGGAGCACAAGGGTAATCTACTTCAATGCCCTGAAATGCCGGGATATTTTTGCTCAATGTGGGGCTCAAAGCCACGACCCTTAGATTAAGTCTCATGCTCTACTTGAGCCATACCAGCTGCTCAGATTAATTCTACTGGATCCAGTTTTTACCCAAATCCCTTGGAAAAGCAAATTGTATGTGAGCGTGTGCATGCACTTTCTCTCTTCCCACAGCACTTGCACCAAATGTGCCCCTAGGCCTAAGAAGGTTGACACTCACCTCTCTGGTTGTTGACATTTGCTGAAGCCGCCTTGCTAGAAGTGCTTCTGGGTCCTGCCTCTGCACTCCTGACTCCTGCTCCTTTTCTGCCTACTTTGCTCTCCCATAAGAGACTGAGGCCACATTTGCACCTGACATATGCAACAGCACCATGCCACTTGAAGCAGTCATGGCTTCCCCGCAAAACTCCTGAGAAACATCATTTTTTAAGGGTGCTGAGAGTTGTTAAAAGGTAAAGGGACCCCTGACCATTAGGTCCAGCCTTGACCGACTCTGGGGTTGTGGCGCTCATCTCGCTTTATTGCCCGAGGGAGCCAGCGTACAGCTTCTGGGTCATGTGGCCAGCATGATTAAGCCGTTTCTGGCGAACCAGAGCAGCGCACGGAAACACCGTTTACCTTCCCTCTTCCCAGAGAACTCTGACATCTAGCTCTGGAAGGGGAATGGGGGTCTCCTAACATCTCTCAGCACCCTTAAACAACTACAGTTCTTTGCTGAGAACTCTTTGGGGTAAGCCATGACTCAAGTGCATTAAATGTATGGTGCAGATGGGGTCTGAAATCCTTGCCTTGCTGCCACAGGTTCCTCATGCCACCACCCTCATCTCACCCTCTTCTCTCGTGTCTAATTCAGGGGTGGCTGCCAGACCTGTTTGGAAATATTTGTTTTTTGCCCACTCCGAGTGTGGTGCACCACCACTGTGCCCTGGGGATATGAGGGCAGCTGAAGAGCTAATTAAGGAGACTGCCTTCTGCCAAGAAGTAGAGCCATCCGTCACGCCACACAGCGACCCCCACAGGACATGCCAACCGCTGGCGCCAACTGAAGTGTGGCAAGAATTTCTGCTTGACGGAAGGCACGAGAGGAAGTAGCTGCAGGGAGGACAGGGAGCCCCACAAATTGCTGATTCACAGGCACTGCCAGACAGCACTGTTCAAATTCATGTGGCCATTTCCACCAAGAAAGGAATCCCATAGCTCAGTGGCAGAGAATCTGCTTGGCACTTAGAAGGCCCCAGGTTAATTCCCCAGTGGCATCTTCAGGTAGGGCTGGGAAAGACTTTCTGCCTGAAGCCCTGGAGAGTCCCTGCCAGGCAGTATAGTCAGCAATGAGCTAGATGGGGCAAAATGCTGATGCAGGATATAGCAGCTTCCTATGTTTTAAGGGAAGGGACATGCTAGGGATCCTGCTTGGTGTGCAGCTGGCAGCAGTTTCAACCCCCTGCGGCATCTCTAGGTACACCTCTTGTCTGAAATGCTGGAGAGCTGCTGCCAGTCAGTGCAGGCAGCACTGAACCAGATAGCCCCATGGCCTGACTCGGACGGTATAACTCAGCTGCTGATATTCACTCTTAGCTACTGCTCATTTTAATCACTGCTTCTCAAACCTGGGTCCCCAGCTGTTCTTGGACTACAACTCCCATCGTCCCTTGCTAGTAGGACCAGTGGTCAGGGATGATGGGAGTTGTAGTCCAACAACAGATGGGGACTCAAGTTTAAAAAGCAC